CCCGACGCTGCCTGACGCCTAGGCTCCTCGACGATGCCCCGCGCCCCCAGGACCTGGCCGCTTCCGCCGCCCTTCGCCAGTGCCCCCGCGAGCACCAGGCTCTTTCGCTTCTCGTTCTTGCCGTCCCTCTCGGGGTCGGTTGGAGTCGCCCATTAGTTCGTCTTCCCCATCAGCCTCTTCCAGAGTTCTTGCGGACACAGACGCGGCCTGCCTCAGCCCCACTAGATCCCGGGGGAGTCTCACCGGCTTCCAACCCTCGGAAGAAAAGAATCTGCCCAGAGTCTCGCTAGTCTCAGCTTGCTTTCTCGTTTTCCTTTCTCCCTTTGACGTGGCTGATTGTTTTGGGAAAGGAAGGGAAAGACATAGAGACGAGGCTCTTGATACTTTTTTCAGTTTAGTTGTGTTTAGAGCTATGCGCCTTGTCTGCCCTGTGAAACAACTCCAAGCTACCAATTCTAGTAATTCTGCTTATTTATCTTAGGTCTCATATTCCTGCCATGCCCTGTTAATGATGGCAGCAGAGTGGGATCCTAACTGTGGTCCAGAGGATAAGGTAGCTGTTAGGTTTGCTTTGGCATCCGTTTCTGGGACAGTATCATCCCTTTCAAAGTCACGCAAAAATATCTATTCTTTAGGACGAGGAAAGGTTGTTCCTAGTCGTGGGTTCTTTGAGTGCCTTGGACAGTTCTGAGGAAGACTACGTGTTATATAGCCCTAGGACTAAGCAATGTCCTGAAATGTCCCTTTTGATCTCAGAGGTTGAGAAGGTCCCAATTTGACCTAGCAGTTTTTTGTTTGTTTGTTGGTTGGTACTGGGGATCAAACTTGGGTCCTTGTGCTTGCAAAGCGGGTGGCGGCGGAACCGCTGAGCTAAATCCCTTGCCCTAGAACGTCCCAATTTGAAAACCAAATGTTACGTAGTCTGACAAGTGGCTTTTTGAACTTAGTAAAAGTGAATTAATGTGGTTCATCCTATTTATGCTCCTGAGATTAGGAGGCGTTTGTTTTCATGTTATGAAACTTAACATTTCATGTAACTAAAGGCATTTAGACACCCAAGATTAGTCACACAGGAGAGTTCATGTAGCTCTAAACCAAGTCATTTACTTTTTGCACTTTTTCCTCTCACCAGTAATTCTGTGGATATTTCACACACTTAGAAAATTCAGAGCACTTTCACCATGTCTTGACTTATTTGACCAAGTTGTGAATACCTGAATGTCATGGAGCTGTCCTGCTGAGTGAGAGACCTGCTCTGGTCTCTGCCTGCTGTCCCCCTACATCAGAGTCTCATAGGCCCTCAGGTGGCTGCTATGAAAAGAATGTGTTTAGACCCACCATGGTATCTCTGTGCCTGCGTTTATCCCATGTTCAACTTCAGTGCTGTGTATAAGTAGACACTTAGTGTGATTATAGCATTTCGCCTGAGTGAGTCAACCTAGGTCTGACTCCTGCACGCAGGAATAAGCATTCAGGTATCTGTGGTTTCAGGGCACTGTCCTGGCACAAAGAATTATGGAGCAGAAGGATGAACTTTCGATTTTGTTTCACTGAAGTATGGAAAACAAGTATTTACTAATTTAAGATAGCTTAAAAATGGACCCTAGTGACTGTGAAGAGGCAGGGACTTACAGAAGGTTTTGTGTTTGAAGAATCAGCATTCCCCTCGGTGAGTAACTTATTTTTGCTGTCTTAAGATTTGAAATGGGACAGGGATTTTACTCAGTGGCATTGTGTTTGCCTTGCAAGTGCAAGGTCCTGAGTTTGATCCCTGGTACAAAAAAAAAAAAAAAAAAAAAAAAAATTAAAAATGGCCAGGCATAGTGGCACATGTCTGTAATCATGGCATTCTGGGAGGTGGAGACAGGAAGATCACAAGTTCGAGCCCAGCTTAAGCAACTTAGTAAGTTAGTGAGAACCTGCCTCAAAATTAAAACTAAGGATAGAGGGTGTAGCTCAGTGAAAAGGCCTTGGGCTCAATTTCCAGTACTGCAATAATAGTAATAATACAGAAAACAGGGTTTTCTGAAATTTTTTCAAGTTGCACTTCACAGTAAGCCCCACCTGATTGTGAATGGAAAAGCCAATCTAAGTAATTGTCTTCAGTACAGCAGCGAAGTAGCAAGGAAACAACACTGAAAGTAGCATCGCAGCTATATGTAGCTTCCATCTCTGACAGAGTGCTTGTGTGTTTTCCATGCGTGTGCTGCTCTGTGAATTGGAGGGAGCAGCACATATGTCCATTTGGGAGGTGGATGCGTTCTGGAGAGGTGACACCCTCAGCCAGGGATTGGCAGGGCAGCAGTGACCTGAGGTCCAGGACCTGCCTGCACCCCAGGCCCATGGGTGCTGGCCCTTGTATAACTCGTGAAATTAAATTATGTCTGACGCTGCTGTTGGTACTAACCTCTTTCTCTAGCTTTGATTTTCCTGGTTGTGAATTAAATGGGTCATCTGTTAAAGTTGATCATTTCTAAAACTACAGGTTCTGTAAAGAAATGAATAGCTCTTCTCTTCAGCTTGAGCCTCGTTGCTGCTGCCCCCACCAGTGTTCCTGGGACCTGGTGGTCTGTGGGCCACTGTCTTTGTCCTGCTGTGACCTCATTATCTCTTATTTCCAGACCTCAGGGTGGCCCCACTGGGAACCTACCTGCAGACCCTTCAGCAGGCTGGCCTTTTCATACCATCAGTCAGGGACACCTCCTTGCCCTACCTCATAAGCTGGGGTCCCTAGGGACCTGGGCTCCCTGTCATATTTCCCTCTCAGCTGGAATCACATTTAACAACCAATTTGTGCGTGTTTTGTAAAGACCACATCTTGCTAGGAGGTTCACCATTAAAAGAGAACTTTTTTTTTTTTGGTATTGGGGATCGAACTCAGAACCTTGCACTTACAAGGCAGGCATGGTGCTGCTGAGCTCCATCCCCGGCCCAAGGGACTTTTCGTATACCATGGAATCTTGGTGGTACTCAGTACTTAAGGAGAATGGATGCCATGAGTTTTTTCTTGGTATTCCTAAGCACTGCCCTGTTATGGCCTGGGAGCATCACAGAGGGTGGAGAGGAGGAGGTGCTACTTACAGGAGGCAGCATTACACGGTGCCTTCCAAGGGACTCCTCTGGAAGTTCTGAGTTACCACTCTTAGTGTTTTCGAACTGTCCATTTATTTACTTGTAAAATAATCCATTTGTAAGCTTAAGAGTTTGTTTTCCTCTTGTTCAGCATTATGGCCAGCCCAAGGACCAGGAAAGTACTTAAAGAAGTCAGAGTGCAGGATGAGAACAATGTGAGTATACACTTGGGGCGTGTTTTGTGTAGGCCTGGGGACCCCCCACCCCCACCAAGCTGGTCCATGGAACTGACCAGTCACGGGCAGCAGCCTGCTGCTCTGGCGCTCACTGATGCAGCCGTAGGGAGCAGTTCCTACTGAGGTGCTCAGGTCACACTGAGAATGATCTGCTTCATCCTTCTTGAGAATGCTTTATAACTGGGGGCTGTTCCTCCATACCAGTTTCCAGGCTTCACCCAGACCCCACTTCCCTTTGGCCGCCCAAGAAGCCCTGTTGTGCTTCCTGGTGCTGGCTCTCTCAGGGCTTGCATGTGCTGTTTGCCCTTCCTCTGCACCCTTCTGGAGACACCTTTTGGGTCTTTGGGGTCAGGCTCTGCCCTGAGGCACCTGATGAGTTGCATGGGGTCCGTTTTGCAGGTTTGTTTTGAGTGTGGTGCATTCAACCCTCAGTGGGTCAGCGTGACTTATGGCATCTGGATCTGCCTGGAGTGCTCTGGGAAACACCGTGGGCTTGGGGTGCATCTCAGGTCAGTGTCCTGCTGCTGAGTCCTCGTGGATCCCACATCTAACCCAGCTCTATGTCACAGTGGGCACCTGCCACCCAAAGTGCTGTCTGACCACCCTGCTGGGTAGCTCCCACTCTGCCACTGTGGCCAGGCTTGTCAGCTGCTGGCTACCCAGCCTCCTTTAGCCTCTTTTTGGCTTCTGTCTTACCGCAAGAAACAGCGGTATCTAGTTCACAACCCACCCATGGCAGGGAGGCTGCTGCATCTGCCTGGGACTTGGTAACCAGATTTCTTCTCTGTTTTTTAGCTTTGTGCGCTCTGTTACAATGGACAAGTGGAAGGACATCGAGCTTGAGAAGATGAAGGCTGGTGGGAATGCTAAGTTCCGAGAGTTCCTGGAGTCACAGGAGGATTATGATCCATGCTGGTCCCTGCAGGACAAGTACAATAGCAAAGCCGCAGCACTCTTTAGGGATAAGGTAAAGACAGGCGTGGAGTGCTTTCTGTGGTGTCCCGGCTGTGCCACCTATTCACGGTGGCTAGAATGTAGCTTCATTGGCTCTGAGGGTTAAGTTTCTTCTGTCAGTTGAGACTTAACCTGTTGAGGCTATGCACAGTTAAGGTATAAACAAAGACATGTGACCCTTGCCTCATCCAGAGCAAGCTCTTCCTGCCTGAAGAGGAACCACATGCCCCATAATTAACTGGAGAAAGGGAACTGTAATTATAATGCCTCTCGTATATTTTGGCTGCAGTGCCTCTGAGAAATTGGGAAGCCTGTTGTTTTGGGGCCAAATAAATGCATATGTGTGCATTTGACGTTTGAGCTACACTGATTTGGAGCTTACCCACACAGCCACCCCTCACAGTTGCCATGAGGCAAGGCCTCAGCGCCTACAGTTGGTACATAAACCTGCAATGCAGCTGCTGAGGCCCAGGGGCTATGCTGGTGGTGGTGCTGGCACGTGCGTTGTGTGCCTGAGGAGACAGCATGTGCACTCCTACTTCTCCTGTCCCCTTGTCAGGTGGCCACTCTGGCTGAAGGCAGAGAATGGTCTCTGGAGTCATCACCTGCACAGAACTGGACTCCACCTCAACCCAAGATCCTGGCGTCTGCTGCCCACCGGTAGTTACCTCTGCTGGTCAGGCCTTAGCACTGTTCTTGGCTGACCCTGAGCTTAGCTGTAGCTCAGGACCCCTACAGAAGCTTGTTGCCTCCACTGTCATGAAAACTTTTCCAGCTGAGAGCTATACCCAAAGTCACCTTTAAAAGTTGCTGAAACAGACAGGTGTTTAGAGAACGTTTCTCCCCCTGCCCAGGCTGGCTTGGCACGTCTCCTTCCAGGTGTGTCATGAGCCATAGGAATGGTAACAGGCTGGGGATGTGGATAGCTGCCCATCATCCTGCAGTCCCCGCAGTGGATGCATCGCTGGTCCCACTGTAGGAACTGTCCGATGTGGGGGCTCACCATGTACCCTGGATGCCAGCATCCTCCCCAGCATGACCGTGTCTTCTTGCGGGACCTGTCACGAGGCCCTGGCACTGCTGGTGGTCAGCTTGTTTCCTGACTCGGGGCCCTCCCTGCTTTTCCCAGCCTGTGTGTAGCACACTGTCTGCTGCTTTTCAGAGCTGTGAGGCTGGCCTCACTGTGATTTCAGCAGCTGGGCCTCAGCATCCTGTGGGGCAGAGCTGAGCCCTGCCTGACAGTGATGCCTTCCAGGTTAATGGGAAGGGCCCTTGCCCTCAGACACGTGATTCCAGTAGGCATTTCTGGGGCCTCCTTCTGGGCTGTAAGCTCTCTGCCTCCTGCCCTTTGTCTCTCCATTTCAGACCCTCTGGCCAGACACAGAATGTGACTGCCTCTGCCGACAAGGCTTTCGAAGACTGGCTGAATGACGACCTTGGCTCCTATCAAGGGTAAGGCCTAGGAAGCAGGCAGCACTGCAGGTGTGTGCAGCATCTTGGGCAGGCCACCCTGAAGGGTTAGTCGGCTGGGATAGGACTGCTTCCTTCTGGGTGGCTGGGCCCACCCTTTCTGGACAGAGTCTGGGTGGTATGAGCAGAGCACCATGTGGCAGGCCCTGGTCAGCCAGGGTTTGAATTGGGAGTCTTAAATGTAGAGGAAACGTAATACTTAGAGAAAAAAATTAAATATTTTCTTCCTGTAATATACCTGGTCCATGAATGAATTTTTATCCCTAAAGACATCAGATTAAATTATTTCAGTGTTTCTTCCAGAAACCCTGGTTGTAAAGTTTTGGGTCTTTCTGGGGCCCCCCAGGTAGTGTGGCAGGAGGGACCTTTTCACGTGCAGGCCCCTAACTTGTGTACAAGTTGCTGTCAGGAGCAGCACGTGCTGTGTGGGGCTGGCATGTCTGGGAGGTGGGAGGCCAGGGCCTGGGCCGTTCGGGACTGGAGAATTCAGGCCAGTGGCTTCTGCCTGCCTGTCCTTTCAGGGCCCAGGAGAATCGCTACGTGGGGTTTGGGAACACGGTGCCACCTCAGAAGAGAGAAGACGACTTCCTTAACAATGCCATGTCATCCCTGTACTCGGTAGGACTCCAGGCCCTGCACAGTGATGCCTGCAGCAGATAAGCTGAAGGGGCTGCCCAGTGCTGGGCAGCGTGGACAGCCCGCTGTGCCCTGCCCTAGTGGGTCTGGTTGGAGGCCCCTCTCCCTTATCCTCTATGGAATTTCCTTTAAAAAATACGGTTTAAATTATTTAGATCCCAAATATATTACAAAATACCTATTCTGAATGTAGCAAGGTCCATTCCTTCGAAGAGCTGACAGTCTCCTGTGGAGCCTAGTAGCACTGCAGGCCACGGGCCCAGCCTCCCCGGGTACCTGTGTTACGTGGCTGACCCAGGAGGGAGGCTCGGGTGCAGAAGCAGGGCTCAGAAGCTTAATAGGCACTGGTGGAAGTGGCAGCTTGTGGGGTCTGGCTGTTCTCATGCCCACTCCATGTCTTGGGGCACCTGGAAATTCAAGGGTGGATGTTCAGGGTGTGACATCTCGAGCCAGCTGTTGACTAGAGTAATACATTTTGTCAACTATTCTTTTTTTTTCTCCCTTTTATATAATTTTTTAAAGCAAACTTACATCAAAATTTCCTTTTATTGCAACTCAGATTTTTAAACATTTTTGTTTTAGTACGTGTTTGTAGTATAAAATGATTACATTTATTATGGGGAGCTGGTCCATGGATATAACACATTTTAATTCCTTTGTCATCCCCTACCCCTCCAGTCTGTCCCCGATCCTTCCAGCTCCTGGTTTCTTTCCCATTTGCAAAAGCTGTTTCCAATGTTTTCTTCCGTTTTTTTTTCTATCCCCTTTCCCTCTCTTCCCTCCCTCCATCTCCTGTTTCCTTTCCCATTTGAAAAAGATCTCCCTCCCCTTATCTGTCTTTTATTTTATTCTGTATTTATAGTTTGGGTTTCTCATATGAGAGAAGCCATTTTTTTAAACCGTCTTTTTTTTCCTGCCTTTCGCTGTGGCACATGCCCATAATCTCAGCTCCTTGTGAGGCTGAAGCAAGAGGATTGCAAGTTTGAGGCCAACTTGAGCAATTTATCAAGACCCTGTCTTTAAAAAAAGGGTTAAAAGTGTTTTTAAAATCATGTGCTGGGTGTGGTGGTGCACACCTGTCATCCCAGCACACAGGACGCTGAGGCAGCTCCATAGTTCAAGGCCAGCCTGAACTGCATAGTGAGACCCTGCCTGAAAAAACAAAACATTAAAAAGGGTTTGAGTCCACTGGGATTTTAGCTTTAGTGGAAGAATGCCAGGGCTCGGTCCCCAGTTCCACTAAATCCAAATCAGTTTCCTTTGGAAGGCATAGGAAAAAACAACCTTGAGCTCACATGCAGGCTGTGACCCTGTGAGCCCACTGTCTGCTCTTCTGGGAGGTGGGGGAGGTGGCAGAGGGAACGGGCTAGACCTCAGCACACAGCCTGGGCACCCAGAGCCCTCCCTGTGATGTGGCTAGTTCCCCTTGTGATCCCGGGTCCCCGCACATGCTGAGCCCTACAGCTGTCAAGGTAAGGGTGACGAGCAGGTGATTCCAGGCACCCCACTCCCTCACTAGTGGCAGGAGCTGCAGAGCTGAGTGAGGTGCTCTCTGTGGAACCCTCTGGCTGCTAAGGTGGGCAAGCATAGTATGGGCATAGCCAGACGTGGTTCCTCTGTTGCCTCCCCAGGGCTGGAGCAGTTTTACCACTGGAGCAAGCAAGTTTGCCTCTGCAGCTAAGGAAGGTGTAAGTAACCTCGTGAGGCGTGCTGGCTGCTGCTGGCTTGGGCTGTGGAAGACGGAGGTACTAAGGGGTCCCAGGGGCTCTCACTTCCCCAGCAGAGGCCTTGGCCACCACAGGATGACCCAGGAGTTCTTGTTGTGGCCCCAGTGTTTCTGTCAGGGATGACCACCCTGCAGAAGTAGAACCTGCCCCTCTGTGGGGGACAGACTTGACCCAATTGATCCCCAAACCTCTGACCTCACCGTTGAGTAAGCTGTGGGTACCTCTGGGTCTTTAGAATACTGTTGGGTAGGCTGTGTTTTCTTTCTGGCCTTTGCTTGAAATGAAGGAAGGACTTGGAGATTGTATTGGGACAGATGATGGTGTACAGGAAAAGTGTCTGCCCCCAGCAGTGATCTGACAAGCACTGGAGGGGAAGAAGCAGGCTTCAACCAACATAGTACCAGACAAGGAGCTGGCCCTGGCTGGGCCATGCGGCCGTGTTGCTGAGAGGAGCAGGGACAGAGGTGTCTTGGTCCAGTGACCCAAAGCCAGCTGGAAGCCCTGGATTGACTCTTACTGCTTTGCCACATACTGCAGTGGTGACCTGCTGGAGCTGCTGTTTTCTCCTTTGTACAAGGGCTGAGGCACTGGGATGTCCCCGGGTACCTGTCACCAGGCCTTTGTCCTTAAGTGCGGGTGTTAGCAAGTGTTGTGCCGGGCAGCAGTGTGCCTGCATTTGCTAGGCACTGAACTGCCACCCACACCAGGGTAGAGCAGGGCCAGGGTGGTGGGAAGGCCCACTGAAGACCGCGCTGGGGTGGCAGAGAGGCCCAGCACCCAGACCAGAGGGTGGAGCCGGCTCTGATTTCCCTCAGCCTTGGTGTGGCTCAGGCGTGCCCCGTACCCCCAGCAGTGCCTGAGCTGGCATTTATGCTAAACCAGGTCTTGCCACAGCTGTCTGGGCACCTTGGCACTGTTGTCAGGCTAGCACTGTCAGTATGGGTGGCCATCGGGAGAGCATCCCAGCTCTGCAGAAATGGAGCCTAGTGGTCAGCATTAAGACTGTTGAGTAAAATGCTTTGTTTTTCCTTTTAGGCTACAAAGTTTGGATCCCAAGCGAGTCAAAAGGTAAAAAAGAGAAGCATTTTCCTCACTCTGGTACCAGGGTTTAACACAGGGCTTTCACACTGAGCTGTATCCCCAGTGTGAATAGTTTTTTAAATTTAAGGCAGAATCTTAAGTTGCCCAGGCTGGGCTTGCACTTGTCATCCAGCTGCCTCAGCCTCCCAGAGTGCTGGAGTTACAGGTGTGCAACAACATGCCCAGCAGGAGAGAAGCTTTTGCCTGATGTGTTTTAAAACCCTTGTGCGTCTGTGCTGTCACATGGAGTGTTGGGAGCTCCCCAGGCCATTTTCTGGGGACCTGTAGGTCCCCGTGCAGAGGGCCAAGGCGCCTGTGTTCACGTGTCTACCTGGCCACCGTAGTGCCCAGCAGGAGGCTGCCCCTGGGTAGGGCCTCCCTGTTCTCTGGCAGCCAGTATAGGCTGAGGCTGCAGTGCAGCTGGCCAGGCTTGGGACAGAGCTGGACTGTCTGGTGCACAGCCGCCTGGCCTCAGGCTGCATCCACAGGAGGTGGACCGCGGCTTTGCAGGAAGGTGGGGGCTCGTTCTTTTGGATGCTGTAACAGTCTACAGTCTTGATGCTGCTTTTTTCCTCAAAAGCTGGTGTGCCCCCAGCATCACCATGAGGTGCACAGGACTCCGGTCAGGGTTGTGCCCACCATGCCGTGGTGGGTCTTTAGGGTCTGCCCTCATGCCCTGAGCAAGGAAGGGCAGCTCCCATGCGGCCCCTTCGCCCTGCAGGGCAGCACCACTTCCCAGGGGGCCCTCACGCCTCTGAGGGCTTTTCTCGCCCTGTGCACCTCTACGGCCCACTCTGGGGACCCTTCCCTGGTTGGTCCCGGAGCCCTGGCAGGCCCAGGTCACACTCACAGTCCTGGAACTAAGTAAGTTTGGAGCAGGCCACCTGCAGGTCTGGTGACGCTCATCTGTGACGCCATCAGCAAGGGTTCAGCCAAAGGGTGCGTGCAGGTGTTTCCTGGGTGTTGCTAAATCCTGCTCCTACCACCTTGCTCTCTCTCTGCTAACCCTCCATGCTGTCTGGGTCAAGTTTTGGGGTTACAAGCAGCAGCCAGAGCCGGTAAAGCCCCGAGTCTGCTGGTGCATGCTGCCCGCATCTGCTGAGCACGTGCTTCCCTCCATCCTGCCCCGTCTGCCTGCCGTCTGCCTGCAGCTCCTCCTGAGACCAGAGCCACGGGCCAGGCTAGGTGGAATCCTAGGAAATGGGTGCCTGGCAGGGTTCCGATTTTATGGTTTAATTACCTCAAAGCAGCAACCCAGGAGAATTTCACCCTGCTGGGGACTGTCCTTCCTGCATTACAGAATCCTTCCCCTGACGGTCTTTCCCTCTGCTTTTCCTTTCCTTGAGAACACGCTGCATCCCAGGTGCCTTGAGGCCTTGTGGTTGTGCCTACCCCGTGGTGCACCAGAAGAGGCTGGGTCTTCTCTGCCCTCTGCCCAGGCCTCTGTGCCCCTGTCCTCCAGGTGGGACTCTGCCTGTTCCACCAAGGAGAGAGAGGCACCTGCAGCCACGAGGGGTCGCTGTTGACCCTGCTGTCCTCTTGGGCCTGTCTGAGCCAGCGGGTTCCGAGGCCAAGCTGGAGGTTGGGCTGTGGAGCAGCTGCCTTCAGGCCGCAGGCCCTTCCTCGTGAGGACCTCCCACTTCCTCCTGTCGTCTGTTTCCCTCCTGTGACCCCATGACCCACTTCCTGTGTGCACCACATCCTGCTGCCTTCCCATTATGGCAAATCTTGTGCTGGCCCTGCTGACCATGTCCTGTGGTGAACATTGCTGCCCCAGGCCTCACATAGCGTCCCTTCCCACAGGCTTCAGAGTTGGGCCACAGCCTGAACGAGAATGTCCTCAAGCCTGCGCAGGAGAAGGTATGGGCAGCACCAGCAGCTGAGAGGCATTGTGTCCCCCAGGCCCCTGGTTTCTGGGGAGCAGACATGTGCCAGGGGCTTTGTACGACTCCGCCCTGTGTCAGCAAGACCCAGCTCCGCCCTGCCTCCTGGCCAGGGCAGCTGCTGTGTCCTTGCCGTGTCCCACCGGCTCTCCCTGCTGCCCCTTCCCCCTACCGCATGCCCAGCAGTCTGTCCTCAGGCAGATTTGGGGTGCCCCCTTCACAGGAGGCAGCTGAGCCAGCCAGGGAGCCTGACCCAGGCAGGAGACACCTCTGAGGAGCTCAGGGTCCGATAGCAGTGAGGTCCCGCAGTGCCAGAATCACCACTGAGATCACAGATCATCATCATTATTTGTGGCACTGGAAACAGAACCCAGGGCCTTCACATTGAGCTACATCCCCAGCCCTTTTTTTTTACATTTGAGTCAGGGTCTCACTAGGTTGCTAAGTTGCCCAGGCTGGACTCAGACTCAATATCCTCCTGCCTCAACTTCCCAGAGTGCTGGGATTACAGGCGTGTGCTACGAGGCCTGGCTCACTAGATCTTTTTGCGGATTTAATGTGACAGGCACCTCCCTGGCGGTTGTTTTAGCAGATTTCACTTTTGAGGTCTCTGTTCTCTGAAGCTTTAAAACCCTAACAGTGCCCTTTCAATCTGCACAGGTGAAGGAGGGAAGGATTTTTGAGGATGTGTCCAGTGGGGTCTCTCAGTTGGCATCCAAGGTAGGGCAGGTTCTGCCTGCCGTGCGGGTGCAGCCAGAGCCAGTCTCCATATTCCAGCCCTGTGGCTGGGCACTGACTGCAGAAGGTGCCCAGGGAGCTTGTGTCTCACGGGCCTTGGCCAGTGTGACAGTGGCCGCTGTCCAGGGGGCCAAGGGCTTGAGGAATATGCAAACAGCTTGGCTGCGGGGAAGTGTCAGCCACTAACCTGTCGCTCCTCCTTCCTCTGCTTGCTCGCTGCCTTTGGGGCTCCTCGAGGTAAGTGCTGTGCTGGTCTCTGGGCAGAGCCTGTTTGGGTTGGTGCAGTGTCCTGGGAGGGCTAGCCCGTTGGGGACCTTCTGTCCACATGATGACAAGGCTGTGCCGCATTTCCTGATGGTCTGAGACCACCACTCGGCCTCGTATTCTCTAGGCAGCCTTGTCCCCACTGGGGCAGCAGATAATCGTTCAGGGTGAACCCTGAGGAAAGAGGGGCAACCGTTTCCAGGAAGCCAAGCAGCAGGGCGCCTTGCACATCGCGGAGCGCTGCTGTGGTACTGCTCTCTGCACCTGTGTCACTCTTAATGGCGGCCGGATCTCTGCAGGACCGTATGTCAGTGTTGGGTCAGAGCTGCTGTGCCTTGGTGAGGGGTATGGCCTAGCCTTTCTTATCTCCTTCCAGGTCCAGGGGGTCGGCAGTAAGGGATGGCGGGATGTCACCACCTTCTTCTCTGGGAAAGCAGACGAGCCATCAGACAGGTATGCATGTCCCCCAGGGCCCTGGGTCCCTCATGCTACCCTGTCCCCTCTTGTGGCTCCAGCGTGTCCCGCCTTTCCATGGGAGTCGTGCATGTTGGCCTCCCTGGTGTACCTGCTTCCCCTCCATGGGCCCCCACGGCCCCTGCTAATGGGCAGAAGGCCACACTGTCCCTCCCTCACATGCTGTTCGGTGACGATGGAGAGGGCCCGATGGCAGGAGACTGCCTGAGTCCTTGCTGGTGAGCCCTGTCGTGCCCTAGGCCCTCGACAGAGCCTCGCTGAGGCTGGGTTTCCCCTGCTACAGGGTGACAGAAGCACTTCCCGCGTGGTGGGGAGTGTGGTGCCAAGAGGGTGGCTGAGGAGCGCCTGGCAGGGCCGGGCACCTGTTCAGGTGCAAAGCATGATGAAGCTGCTGGGGGCAGTGGCCACGCTTTGGGGTGTGGGCTCCCAGGGGTGGGCTGGGCTCGTGGAATGGTGGTCTCCGTGCCCCTGACACTTGAGCATGCTGGATGGGCTGGATGTCCTGGGCACCGTGCCAGCGTGAGTGCGTTGTTCGTGACATCCCTTGCATCCCTCTCTGTAAAAAGGCCCGTCGAGGGCCAGAGCTACCAGAACAGTCGCGGGAACAACTTCCAGAACAACACCATAGACCAGAGCTTCTGGGAGACCTTTGGGAGCACTGAGCCCGCCAGGACCAAGTCTCCAAGCAGTGACAGCTGGACCTGCGCAGACGCCTCGACAGGGAGGAGGAGCTCGGACAGCTGGGACCTGTGGGGCTCGGGCTCCGCCTCCAACAACAAGAACAGCAACAGCGATGGCTGGGAGGGCTGGGAGGCCCCAGCCCCCAGCGGGGAGGCCAGGGCCAAGGCCCCCAAGAAGGCAGCACCGTCCACAGCAGTTGACGAGGGCTGGGACAACCAGAACTGGTAGGGCCCGCCGCGCCGGCCCAGCCCTGTGGGGCTGCTGTTTGCACTTTGCCCTCGTTGTTCCTCCTGTGTGACCCAAGCAAGAGAAGCAAAGTGACTGCAGTGCCAGGACAGCGCTCAGGCGGGACTCGAGGTGGCACCGCCTGCCAGCGCAGGGTCCCAGTGCAAGCAGCGCTTTCCCAGGCCACGTGGGGTGAACCGTACCTGGGCCCCAGAGTCCCCAGCAGCCTTCCGGACTCATCCGTTCTCAGGGCAGGACACCGCTGAGGGCAGAGGTCTGCTGCTGCAGGAGGTGGCCTGGCTCAGGGCTGGGCCCTTGGCCGTACCGGACGTCTGTCTTTGTTGAAATGTGTTTTTAACTAAAGAATCGGGCTAGTTTTTTCTTTTGAAAGAAAATGCCTGGAGTCTTAGAGACGGACTTGCTGGAAGCAGTACTGGAGCTTGCACTGCCGTCAGACCCTCTCCGGGGGCCTTCTCCGTGGCCTGTGCTGTGAAGCTCATCGTGACCTGGCCGTCTGGGTTGCCCTGTCCAGACCCCACGGGATGAGCCTCCACGGGAAGCCCACAGCCCCGTGGCTCTGGCTTCCTGATGCAGAGCTGGTCTCAGCACTCAAACTCTGCCCTGTCAGAGATGAAGACGCGGGGCAGAGTGGGCCGAGGACGGCCTTGCTGTGTCCGCCTCCTGGGCACCTCGGGACCCGGGGTAGCCTCCCCAGGGCTGCTGCCCCAGCCTGCAGTTGTACGTCAGGCCTGCGGTGGCCGGGCCTCCTTTCAGCCTGAGTGGTGGGAGCATCAGGTGCAGGCAGATCCGCACTGTGACCCTGTCCCCCACACCCACCTCATCTTCCCACACCTGACACTTGGGTCTCACCCCATGCGGAGCCCTGCGTTGGCCCCGTGAAGCACGTGCAGCTTGGGCTCCCCGGACTGTGGACACTGGTGTTCTGCAGATGCCACCGCCTGTGACACCAGCACCTTTGGCCTGACTGCCCCCCAGGATCCGATGTCAGTGCTGCTGCAGCATAGCCAGAGGGTGTGGTGGGACCCCCCCCCCTGCACCCACCCCTGTGTGCCCTCAGTGTGACCAGCAGTGCATGCACCTTGAGCTCCTGTGTGATTTGTGTGCGCCGAGCTCGCTCCTCCCCTGCTGTGTTCCTCAGCACCGCTGCAGCCCCGCATTCGTGCTGCACAGGGGCCCTGCTGCCTGCAGATGGGGCGTGCCTCGGGCCTGGATCCTCCCGGGATCTCTGCCCCTTACCCCATAGCGGCCGGGTCTCGGGAGGGTGGCTCCTGGACCTCAGTCCAGCAAGGCCGGGTTAGAGCCAGGGTGAAAGGAGTCGCTGGAGGTCACTGAAGAAGCACGAGAGGGGCCTGCGCTGGTGTGGACACAGCCCCTTCGCTAGCTGGATGCTGGAGAGGGGTGGGAGCCGCCCCGCGTGGACGGCACACAGTGCCGGACACTTCAGCTTCCACATGTGCAGTAAGGCATTGTGCTTGAGGTTTGCTCCACTGGTGGGGCCCAGGAGGGTGCACCCGAGCACCGCTGAGTTCTGAGTCCTGTACATGGAGCGCAGCCACACAGCATCCTTTTAAAGCCCAGGGGAGGACACACAGGTCATCTGGAGAACTGGAGGTCTACTTCCTGTATGGATGTGAGCAGACAAGGACCAGCAGAGGGCATGGCAGGCACTCCTGGGCCATGGGTGAGGCATCCTTGCTGCTTTAGCCAGCTGGCACAGGGCCCCAAGGAAGGGCCCGCTGTCCCCCACCCCCTTGGGAGGCCCAACATGCACTCTGAGCTGGATTCTTAGGGTCACAGGAGGTGTCCAGGGGCCTCCACAGGCAGGCAGGCAGCAGCTCCTGGCCACATCAGGGGCATGGGCGAGAGGGCTGCTCCAAAGATGCTTTAGACCCCACCTGGGGTAGTGGCAGGAAGGGTACTGAGAACAGGTGACCTTAGTCAGGAGAGACCCCGTGGAGGTCTGGGCCAGGTGTCCTCACAGCCTCCAGGTCATCCTGGGTTGGGTTGATAAAGATGCAGATGCCCAGGCCCTCTGTGGTCTGGTTGGTTCATGGTCCCTCCCTGAGTCCCCCTGGCCAAGTGGGTGGAAGGGAGGAGGGTGGGCAGCAAACCCCTCTGTAGCTCCTGGGAGCTGGCTGACCACCCACTGGGCCCCCAGGAGGTGTCCAGCTCTCAAGCCAGACTCTGCAGTTGTCCCTGCTCCCTTGTCCAAGGCACTGCCCAGTGGGCTCTTCAAGGCCAGCCCTGCCCTTCATGATCTTTTCTAAGACTTGGATTCCCAACATCTGTCTGGTAGACCTCGCCACTCTCTGGCCTGTGTGGTTCCTGCTGACCAGTCACCTCTTCCAGTGACCATCACCTGTGCCGCAGGGGTGGCCCAGTGGGAAAATGGAGTGGGCTTCTGGGCATGTTGGGATAGGGGTTCAGGCGGTTGATGGGGGACAGCCCTGCTCTGTCCTGACCCTGCCAAGGGCTGGGCCCTCGCCATGTGGGCATGGGCAGCCTCTCCTGCAGCCCTCTCAGTCGCCTCCCATTGTAAGACCTGGATAGCTCACGTGCCCTGCCTGAACCCTAGCACTCCTGAGTGGTTTTGTCTGTGTGTGCACGTGTGTAGTACTGAGGGTTGAACCCCAGGCCTTTGTACTGAGCTGGTTTCCCAGCCCTTTTTGAGTTGGTCTTGCTAAGTCACCAGGTTGCCCGGGCTGAGCTTGAACCTGCAGTCCTCCACCTCAGCCCTCAGAGTATTGGAATCACAGGTGGGCCCCACCACACCTGGCTCTGTTAAGTGGTTTGAGCACTGCAGGGACTTTGAGGGTGATTCCACAGCAGGGTCAGGGTGGAAGGCACAGGACAGCTGCGTAGGCCCGTGGTGCCCAGGAGGACACTGATTCCAGCTCCCGTGTGGGTGTGTGTGTACACGTCTCCAGGTGCCTGTGAGCCTTGGCTGCACATGTCCCCAGTGACTGCCAGACAGAACACAAGGCTGGGCCAGGGGCAGTTGCTCCTGTGGGGTGTCAGAAGCAGGCGCTGAGGCTGGCTGTGCTCTCCCATAGTTGTCCTGGGCCTGGGCTCCAGGGGCCACACGGACCTTGCAGGTGTCTCCCAGCAAGGACAGTCAGTAGCAGTGTCCCGTCCCTAGGGGACATCTGGGACCACAGCAGCTGCTGTTTCCATGGACATGGCCAGGACATGAGACGGGTCTCTGTCCCCAAGGCAACCAATAGGGAGGTCTGGTGGGGGGTGGGCTTGTACTGCCCCAGCCCTGCTAGGCTCCTCAGTGAGGCTGGGGTCAAGGCGGTGCCAGCACTGGCTGGAGGGACTTTGTGGGTATGAGTCCAGAAACAGTGGGGTGTAGCCAGGGCAGGCCTAGGTGGGGCCTGTGGAGGGTTGGGGACTCAGCTGGCTGGGTTGGGACAGTAGCCCCCAGCCAGCCCAGTGGGGAGTGTGGGAGGGGCCTGAACCTGGGAACAGATTTGGGGTCCTGGGGACGTATGGCAGGGGACGTAAAGGCTGTGCAGCCAGATGAGGTGCTGCTCCCTCTGCTCATGCTACACTGAGACCCCTAGTGCCAAGCACTGCATCTTGGGGCCTTTGACCCCCATGGCTTCCCTGTGGGCTCCCTTTGAGGACAGGCCTTCTGGGAGCGAGGGTAAGGTTCTTGGCCGCTGCCTTCAGCAGAACCCCTGCCAAGTGATGGGGCCCTTCCTGTTCGAGCCTCTGATTCCCACCCTCAAATGCCCAGGCACAGCGGAGGCGAGAGGAGGGGCCAGGCCTGAGCGGGTGGTGACGTGGGAGGAGGAACCAACCCGGGGGACCAGACGGCCGGCCCAGCAGTGAGCGTGCTGTCCTTGGAGGAGCTGGCTGTCCGCGGTCTTGGCCAGGTAGACGGGCCCAGGGGAATCACTCAGGTCTGTGGTCTGAGCGCAGCCATGACCTTGCGTGGAGGTTGCGTTGGGAGCTGAATCCTGTGAAGGCAGCAGGAGCCAGGCCAGGGTGCAGTGGGAGATCTGGGCTGCCCTGTGCTCTGACTCGGGGGTCCTGGCACCCCATATCGTGACACGCCAGGGTAGATGTCTGGCAGAGGGGCTTGTGTTCACAGCTGCCACCACAGCAGCCCTCAGTGGGGAGGTGTCTGGCTTCAGAGTGAATCGAGGTGCAGGGGACTCATGCCACCTCTGGCTGGCCCAGGTAGCTGAGCCATGTGCCCTCCTAGGCCTGGGTCTCCTGGCCATGGCCGCTCATTGCTGGGCCAGCACAGGGCCTTGACTTGCATTTCTAGTAGCCTTCCACCTGGGTGGGCTCCCCCTTGGGGAAGGGCTGGCTCCCTGGTGGGGCACCCTTGGGCACACACCCAGGAGGGGGAGGGGTCCTCTCCAGATGGGTGGGATTGGGGTCTGAGGCATTCAGGACGCTGGACGAGGACCTGAGGGTGCTGTGCAAACTCCGCTGTGGGCCTTGGCTGTTCTCACCCCCTGCTTAGCACCAAGGGCATGGGGCAGGTGGCACCTGTGGTAGGGGATGGAGCTGGGACCTCATCTGCTTCAGCCGCCTGTGCTGGGCCGATTTGCAAGAGCCCAGGCTCATGCCACGGCCTGGCTGTGTGCATCTACTGGAGGGCAGTGCTGTGACCCCAGCATTCCCACCACAGCATCTGTAGAGACTGCCTGCCAGGCCTGCAGGCCCTTGGGCAAGGGCTCTGGCTTCATGGTAGAGGGGAAGCACAGGTGGGGTTGACCAGGTGCTGCGGCCTCTCCTCCCACAGGCTGTGCACCATGAACCTCCTCCGCTTCTGCCTCTGGCTGTGGCTGGGAGCCATCTTGGCACATGGGCAGGGACAAGGTAAGAGAAGGGTCCAGGGGCAGTGCCCTCCCCCGACAGGATGAGCCCTCTGCCGGGCTCTTGCCTTCCCTTGTAGCCCAGAACACGGAGGACTAGATGCCTGCCTACAGCAGCAGACGGGATGGGGCAGAGGGAGAGCGGTGGTTCCCGAGCAGTCCTCCCACAGCTTTTGGCCTGACCCTTGGCCTTGCAGCCTTTCCTTCTGTTGTGCTCAGTTACTGCACAGACACCTCTCCCATCTGGAGCAGAGCAGAGCAGGGAAAGCGTGGCTCCTGTTTGCCACTGCTGCCTGCGCTCACAGGGTGGGGCTGCCCAGCTCTGTGGCGGGGAAGATCTGTGCTGAGACTTCGCCCTGGTGAGGAACTGTGCTCAGGTGGACCCTGGTGAGGGGTCTTTCTGTGGAGGGGAGAGAGGCTCACCGTTCATGCTGTGACCTGGCTGCCTGGGCTAGGCATATGTGGCCCTTTCTGGCATACCTGGGCTTTCACGGAGGGGGTTTTGTTCTTGGTAGCATCTCATCCCTGTCTGAATCTGTGTGTCTGGGTCACCACCAGGACTGGTGCTGCCTGGGTGAAGAGTGCCTCTTCCCACCACGCAGCCCTCAGAGCCTGGGGCCTTGGGCCTAGGTCTGGCCTGGAGCCCCGGCAGGCTGCTCTGTCTCCAGCCTGTCCCCATCTGCCTGCCACTGAGGCAGGCCCCTTGCCTCAGGATAACCTGAAATGGGATGGCAGGTTGAGATTTCACAAAGAAAGAAGCCACCATTGGCAATTTGAGCTGAGTCACACTGATTCTACAACAGGCAGAGGCAAATGTATCCACTCCCGGTCAGGGTGCAGCACGCTATGGGCCGCCATGCACAGCTGCCCACTGGGTCTGTGGAGCCTCCAAGAAGGGCTGGAGTGGGCCGATGGCCCTGTGAGGTGAGGTGTGGCTGCAGTAGGGGGAGGGTCAGGCATCACCAATGGGCCCTTCCCAAGGCCCCCACTCGTGGTGATCAGAGGCCCCCAACATGCTGGAAGCAGAGTGCAGAAACAGAAGGCTCTTCATGGGCAGGAGTGGGGTCCTTGCCCACATCTGGCTCTTCAGAGCACCCGCCGGCCCCCCTTGCATTCCTGCCTTTCAGTGGGTTGCCCACAGAGCAGCAAGGCCCCTTCCGGAGACTGCTCAGCTCCTTCCTGCTGTGAATGGGTCATTGTGTCTGTCTGGAGCACCCCCATTTTCTGCTCCCTCTCCCAGGGCCCCAGCCCGCAGTGGGGTGGCCAGAAGAGACCCGTGTCTGTCCCCATTTTCCAAAAATAGCCACCCCTATTACAGAGCCTGGAAGCCTCCCAAGAGGTTGGTGTAGGCCCCCACTTTGCCCTGCTCCTCCCATCTGGCTTCTCACTACAGCAAGAGCCCCCACCCCCCAGTACAAGGGCTGAGGCTGCACACGCATTGGCATAGCTGCACACGAAAGTGCACACACACACCGATGCACATACAACCTCCACATGTACACACACACAGTTTCCTGTCGGAGCCTCTTCCTGAGAGCCCAGGGAGAAATCAGCGCAGTGTGCCTTTGGCAGTGGCACAGCTGCTCCTCCTGCATCCTGACTGGAAAAGCACTGTGCCCCAGTACCTCCTACCCCATGGGGTGCTCAGGATGCTGGCTGTGCGCAGCCTCAGGCTGACCACCCGGAGGAAGAGGCACCCTGGGACAAACAGGCTCTCTGTCACCGAGGACCCAAGGAGGCTGTTTCCAGTGTGCGTGGGCTTGCTCCTCCCGGGGGCTGTGGCCTCCTCAGACTCTAAACTGGGGCACAGGGCAGGTCCCGTGCATCCCCACGGCTAGCTAGGAGGAGGAGGAGTCTGCTGGTGGTGGGGGTCAGCCCTGACTGCCTCACCCTGGCTGTGGCCACCTCACCCAGGTGGCCGCCTGAAGCTGGCTGTGCTGCCCGAGGACCGGCTGCAGATGAAGTGGAGAGAACCGCAGGGGGGCGGCCTCGGCTACCTGGTGCAGGTGAAGCCCATAGCAGGTAAGGGGCCCATGCCCACCTCCAACCCGCTGTGTGGTGCTCACGGTGCCTCGGAGACCAGCCGCTCCCGACGCTGCCCGCGGCAAGGCCGTCACTGCCGGGGGGTGGCTCTGTTATCCTTTTTCTTTCAGTTTATGTTTATAGGTACACATTTGCAATACATAATAATTACACTCGTTTTCTTGGAAGTTAGCGCATGTATGTAACATATTTTAATTCTTTTCATCCCTTTCCCTCCTCTCCCTCCCTGCTTTCTCTTGGTCTCCTTTCCATTTGCAAAAGATCTATTTCTCTGTTTCCCATTATCCAGCTTTTATTTTGCACTTTAATTACTTGTGCTTGGGTTTCTCATGTAAGAAAAGCCATGTGGTATTTAGGCTTGATTTATTTCACCTAATTTCCCTACACAATTCAGATTTGTCCTTTATGGCATCAGCCTGCGCTGTATATAAACACATTTCCTTTGTTCATCGCGTGGTGGACATAGGGCCCACATCATCCATGATTTGTGAGTCGTGTCTATTGTGCTTTGGAGTGATTTGGAGCTGCTATCTGCAGTGGGATGTCTGCTGCCTCTGTGCTTCCTCCTGTCTCTGACTCACTTTCGGAGGGCCCGTGGACCCACAGCATGTGCAAAGGGTGCTCAGGACAGACGCTGTGAGGAAACAGTGCCTCCTCCTGGGAGTGCCAGGGCCTCAGGGCTTCAGAGCGGCCTGAGCTCTGCACACACGCAGGCTCTGGGCTCTGCACGCACAGGGGCTCTGGACTGTGTACCTGCATACGGGCTCTGCACACACATGACTGCACACTCACAGGCTCTGCACAAGTGTGGGCTCTGCACACACAGCTCTCTGCACATGCCTGCCTCTGCACACTCATGGGCTGGCTGCAGAGCCCTGGTACTCACCCAAGAGGCTTCAGTAGCCCATCTCAGACCACAGAACACCTGCGTGTGATACGGCTGCTAGTGTGGACACATTATCATCCTCTGAAATATGTGTGGAATTGATTTGCAGATATTTTGCCTAGGGTTTCTGTACTTACATTCACAGGGAATATTGGTGAGTAACTCTCTTAAGTCCTCATTAAATCTTGGTAACTGTCGTGGAGGCAGGAAGGGCTCTGACTTTGCTGGAAGCGTTGCTTTCTTGGATGTGTGAGAATTCTTGGGGATGACCTCTGAGCCTGGTTGTTTGTGTGTGTGTGTGGCTTTAGAGAGTAGAGTCAATGTCTTTAACAGACACAGGAGTATTCCAATTTCCTGTTGTTTCTGTTGGTTTTGATAACTTGGTTTTTCCTAGGAATTTGTATTTCATCTAAATGTTCAAATGACTTGGCATAAATTGTTCATATTGTTTTGATCTAAATGTCCGAGAGCATGGTGGTTTTAGTGCACTTTCAACCCTGTTATTGGTTATTTGAATATTCTGTTTTTGCTGTCGACAATTTAGAGGTTTATCTATTTTAATAAAAGTCCTTGGCTTTGTTAAGGCATTCACTGCTTTTGTTTTGATTTAATTTCTTCACTTCTATTTCCTTCCACTCTTTCTCTTCTTTGTTTGGGATACTGGGGATTGAACTTGGGACCTTGTGCTTGCAAGGCAGGCAGCAGAACTACTGAACTAAATCCCTGGTCCTAACTTTCTATTCTTTTTTTTTTTTTTTTTGGTATTGGGGATCAAACTCAGGTCCTTGCACTTGCAAGGCACTTGCCAGAACCACTGAGCTAAATCCCCGGGCTCCCTAACTTTCTGTTTTTAAGGTTGATTTTAGTTAGATCTCTGTGGCACAATCAGTTAGTGTGTTTGGCTGTTAACTGAAAGATTGATTTTTTAAAATTATTTTTCAGTCCTTCCCCCCGCCATTTTGTTTTGTTTTTTGAGACAAGGTCTGGCCTCAAACTCGTGGCTGTGCAGGAACTCTTCACAGTGTCTTCGTGGCATGTGGACCTTCTCGCTGTGGAGTGGGCCCCTCTCATTTCCCTCGTTTTCCCTTGGTTTCTACCTTCTGTGAGACCAACATTGCCCCAGCAGGTACTGTTTGCACTAAATACCTTTCCCCCTTCTTAAGCTCTTAACATTTCTCTTTTCTAAGCAGCATATAATTGGACATTACTTTTATCCACTGTGAAAATCTTTGTCTTTTAATTGAAACATTTTATCCAATTATGTTTAGCAAAGTCATTGGTCTGAGTTTAAATCTACAATCTCCTTATTTGTTTTCTTTCTGTTCTACTTATTATAAATTTCTGTTTTCTCCTTTCTCGCCTTCTACGGATCTGACTTTTATGGAAAAACTTAGACACATACAGAAGAAGACAGCACTGTAGAAGGAAGCCTCACATCAACAAAGATTTAGCGTCAACAGTCATCAACATATGGCTAACACGGCTTCGTGTCTCTTCCTGGCCCTGTCCATATGTTGTGTTATCTTAAAGCAAGTCCCAGGCATCTAATTCTGTCTATAACCAGTATGTTTCTCAAATAAAAGACTCACAAATAACCTCAGTACCCTTACTGTGCCCTCAAATTATTTCAGAACTGTTGTTAAATGTTTAGTAGTGTTTACATTGCCTGGTTTGTCTGATGAATATCTTTTATAATTGACTGGTCTGGTTGGGATCCCGAAAGAGTCCACACATCTTTGGTTCCTGTGTCTCAAGTAATTTTTCATTAGCAACTAATTTCCCCTGTCTCTTTCCCTTGACCTTTATTTACAGAAGAAACAGGATTTGCATGTTCCTGCTTTAAAGATGCCATTTAACTTGCTCCTTTCCCCCATACCTGCCCAGATCACAGTTGAATCCCAGAAGCTTGGTCAGATTCAGTTCCGGTGTCTGCTGGCAGTCTGCCAGTGGCGCTGGGTAGCTCCTGCGGTCCCCAGCAGGGGTACTTTTGTCTGCTGCCCCTTTTGTGAGACGCTGAGATCTGTCAGTGTGTGTGTGGGATAAGGAGTCCGTGTGCCCCGTAAGAGTGACGGGTGCATATTCACTGACCCTTTTCTAGTGACCACCCTAGTGGATTTCTGAACAAGTAACGCATGTGAGGGCCCTTAACACCGACGCCTAAGATGTTGCACCTCCACTTCCCTGCCTTTTGTGCACTCTGTATCTATATTAAATTTCATAAAACACCTTTATTATCATGGCTGGTTGTAAAAACAGATTTGTGCGAGTAGGCTCAAGGCGCAATCCGTTTTCGGCCACTACTGAACAGTACCAGCCTGGGTAAACTGAATGATGGAAGCTCATGGTTCTGGGGCTGAGAGGCCCGGAGTCTGGTGTCGGGCCAGGGATGGCACTGTGCTGAGTTACGTAGTGGAGGGTACAAGACAAAGATAAGTGAAGCTAAGTTCCGCTGTCACCAGGAACAGCAGGAACTGTTCCCTAGAGCAGCACCTCATGGCCTGGTCGCCTCTTTGTAGCTGTCAGTGTGACTCACACAGTTCACTGAGTCTGGAAGGATCATCAGGTCAGGTGAAGGGTGGACCTGGGTCTGCATCCTGGTTCTACCTCTGATTAGCTGTGTGGCTGGTCCATCACGCTCTTTTCCGCTTCTGTAAATGACTGTGTTGAGGTTGGGAATGTTTTGAAATGTGCATGCGTGGCATCTGGGCTGGTCCTAGGTTCCATCACCTGTCTCACCTGTTCTGCTTCTACTAGTCACCCCCACCACTTGGTCAGAGAGCTTGGGGTCCTTCCTGCCTGTGTCACTCCCCAGCACACACTGAGCAGGGCACAGGGACGGTTTGCCGCCCGGGGCCAGGGCCTGCTTTCTTCCAGGTGTGAAGGATGGTCTCCTCTTTCCCTCTCCCCCTCTTGAGCCCAGAGGAGGAACCTCTTACAGCCTCTGTGGTCTGACTGCTGCCTCCCAGCTCTAACTCAAAGTCACTCGACTGAGTCCTCTTTGGAGTCATTTGGTGGCTACTAGAGTCCACGTCTGTCTGTAGATGACGGAGACACAGAGTAGGGAATGTGGATGCTCATCATATGGTTGATTCCTCCAGGAGCAGGTCATCAAGGACATTTCCCTGCCAGGGGATTCTTTCTCTTGACAAAATCCCTCTTCTCAGTTCCTTGTCCTTTTTCTCTCCTCTGGCCTCAGTGGGGGATGTGGGGGAGGCCTGAAACTCCTCACCCTGCACACGTATGTGCACATGGATGTGCATGCTGCCCACCTTGCAGCCCCAACAGCTCTCCACCCACCCCCAGGGGACTCAGAGCAGGAAGTGATGCTGACCACCAAGACCCCCAAGGCCACCGTGGGGGGCCTGAGCCCCTCCAAGGGCTACGTCTTGCAGATATTTGAGCTCACTGGCTCCGAGCCCATCCTGCTGGTGCGGAGGGAGTTTGTGAGTAAGTCTTCTGCTCTCCCTTCCTGGCCCAGGTGGGTCCCAGGGAACGCCTCTGGGCAGCAGCTGGCCCTTGGGTTCCCGATGCAGCTTGCATCTCGGGGTCTAATTTCCTGCCCACCTCTTGGAGTGAGGGTCCCCCTGGTGCCCCCAGCTATGTCCCCTGGGAAGGGCTAGTGTCCTGGCCCTCAGACCCTGCCCTGACAGCCTGTGCTTCTCTCTGCAGTCAAGGATCTGAAGAGTAATGCCCTGGGCAGGAACGGCCAGAGGCCTATGGGGGCAGCCCTGATGCCCACACCCTTCCATGTGGGTGGCCCGGACCCTAAGCAGACCCCCGAGCCCAGAATCGCCTTTGTCCCCAGCCAACAGCCGCCCACTCTTGGGGGATCGGAGAGGGGTGAGAGTGAGCTGCTGGGAGGGGGAAGGTGGTACCCTGAGCTCCTCATGCCAGGAAGTCGTCCTCACAGTGACTCGTGCTCTCCAGGTGTACCTGAAGCTTGCTTTTGTGCCCCTGGATCCCCTTACGCTGGGCACTGGGCCCTGTTGTCTGTGACACCCTTGGGAGCCCTAGCCTAGGTCTGGCAGTGCAAGGCGGCAGCTCTCTCTCCCCTCTCCAGGCGTGTCCAGCCCAGATCGGGAGCAGCCGGAGCAGCCCCGAGGCTCTGGGGTACGTGAGCCCACTCAGCTGACCCCGGGCCTGACAGGGAGGAGCCATACTGTGGCCCCCACGAGAGGTGGAGAGGCACCAGGTAAGGAGCTGCTCTGCTGCCTGGGGGCAGGTCCCAGTGGGCGCATGTCTTCCATGACTTTGCCTCCCCTATTGGGCTGAGTCCCCACCAGACTGGGAGATGAAGGAGCCACCTCCAGACCTAGGCACAAGCATACCCTCTCAGGAGGGCCTTGTGTTCAGTGCCGTGCAGGGCCAAGAGGACAGGGCTAGGCCTCTCGCTCAGTTGTGAGCCCAGGCACTGTCCTGTGCTGGCCGTGGTCTGCCAGGCGTGTACTGTGCTCAGTGTTGGCAATGCCAGCCGGGGAGGGTGCTTTGTCTCAAGAGTTCCAGGACCATCAGGACAGTGAGGCTACAGCCAGGAGCTGTTAGGAGGCCCCCAAACCCTTCCCCGTCTCAAGTAGATCTACCTAGAATGGTCTTGGTGTGGATTCCTCCCCTGAGTCAGCAGCCCTGCGGCGCTGGGTCTGAGCGTGTGGGGTGAGAACTCAGGCTGGGAGGCAGCGCTGTGTGCACAGAGAGGGGCAGACCTGGCAAGCAGGCAGCCCCTGACCAAGCGTGGTATCACCTCTCTTTTGGGAGGGCTCAGAGAGGCTGAGAGCCTTGGTCAGAGTCCATATGGTATTTTCTAAGCCTGAGAGACCCAAAGTACTCAGAGGCCCTCACCCTGAAGAGCAGACCCCTCCTACCAACTCCTGCGAGATGATCCTTTGGGGCTGCAGCCAGGCCAGAGTGGCCCAGAGCTCTGTGGAGGCCGTGGGCCTCACCCACCCCACCTCCTTGCCTGCCCAGCTGGACCCCAGTTCCGCTGCACACCCCCGACGCCCACTGACATGGTCTTCCTGGTGGACGGGTCCTGGAGCATCGGCCACAGCCACTTCCAGCTGGTCAAAGACTTCCTGGCCAGCATCATCTCACCCTTTGAGATCGGGCCAGATCAAGTCCAAGTAGGTCAGTACTGCCCCTCGTCAGCCTTCCTCAGGGAAGGGACAGGGAGCACTGGCAGCCAGCCAGATGGGAAGATGCCTGCTGACCCAGCATGTGGGGTCTGAATGGGTCACGCAGCTGATGCACCAACTTCCCTGCCCCGGCCAGGGCCACTGGCGTGGTCTGGTGGAGCAGCAGGCTCCCAGGGGGCTTCCAGGGGCCAGGTACATGGCTTCTCTGAGGAAGTTCTGGGCCCTGCAAGCGAGTGTCTCCCTGGGGACAGCTGCTGTCTGGCGCTGTGTATAGATGAGGCAGCTACCAGGATGTGGTCCTGGCCCTGTGCAGTCCCGAGGGAGCTGCAGACCTGGAGACTCTGCCCAGAGGCCTGGCCCCTCCCCCAGGCCTGACTCAGTACAGTGGAGACCCCCAGACAGAGTGGGACCTGAACTCCTTCCGCACCAGGGAGGAGGTGCTGGCCGCTGTGCGCAGCCTTCGCTACAAGGGAGGAAACACATTCACAGGTTCGTGTGCCCCTGCCTTCTAGTGTCTGGCTGTTCAGAAGCCTTGCTCCTTCCTGCTGCTCAACCTCCTTTATGCCCCTGGCCACCCCGAAAACCTTCATGAGGTCCGTGGATGCTGAGCCCCCACAAAAGCTCCGCAGAGGGCAAAATGACCCTGTGTGTCTTCGACGAAAGCACAGGCTTCTGCCTGGGTCTTGCTGACAGCAAGCAGCTCCTCCAGCAGGGCTGCCAGCCTCAGGTGTCACCAGGGGGCTGGGCGTGGCCTTGGCAGGTCACAGGTGCCTTCTGAGGGTAGAGGAGCATCCCTGCTTCCAGTGCCCCAGCTGGCAGCCCAGCACTGCCAAGGAGGGTAAACAGAACCCAGAACAGGGTCAAGCTCTGGGGGCACCAGAGGCAGAGGTGCTGGGAGCTGCTTGTCACTTGATTCCTGCTCTCCCAAGGCCTCGCCCTGAGCCATGTGCTGGGGCACAACCTGAGCCCTGCGGCGGGTCTCCGTCCGGAGGCAGCCCACCTGGTGATCCTGGTGACGGATGGCAAGTCCCAGGACGATGTGCACGTGGCTGCGCACACCCTGGAGGGCCTGGACGTCGACGTCTTCACTGTGGGTGAGCCCCGCTCAGGCTCTGCGCCTGGTTCTCGCCGGTGGGCTCCAGACGCGGACAGAAGTCTGCACCCTCATGTCACCACACTGGACAGCAGGGTGGGCTTCCATTTCTGCAGGCCCAGAGGGTCCGCCCCTGCCCAGGAGAGCTGGTACACCTGCACTCAGAGGCGTCTGCTTGCCCCTAAGGACTGTGTCAGCTTTTTGGCATCATCGGCAGAGTCCCCTCTCAGCTTCTCTGTGATCCTAGAGCTGGTCCCCTGCCTGGCCAGTGTCCCTTCACCCCTGCACCTGGTGACTGCCTCCCCTCCAGGCCTTGGTCACACTTGCTACACCGGCCACCTGTCAGCTCTGCCCCACTGGAGGAAATCTAGATGTAAGGTCGTCCTGGGATCCCCAGAGGCCCTCACTCACAGGCACTGTACCCCAGCACTTGCACAGCCCAGCCAGCTGCCGGAGCACCCAGACACCTGCCTGGGATAGGATGGCTCAAGCACTCTGGCCTCCCTGGCCCTAGTCCCATTTCTCACTGGGGCCATACGGGCTTGGGCGACTCCAGCAGCCCCACCCCAGGGTCCTGTTTGCGAGCAGAATGGGGTGCAGAGAGGCTGCCTGCTTATCTGCCCCTCCTTACCTGAGCAGGCGTGAAGAATGCCGATGAGGCTGAGCTGAGGCTCCTGGCATCAGAGCCGCAGGACATCACCGTCCACAACGTGCTGGACTTCCCCCAGCTGGCTGCCCTGTCTGGTCTGCTCAGCCGCCTCATCTGCCAGAAGGTCCAGGGCCGGAGTCTGAGCAGGGCCCCCGGTGAGAGAACAGGGGCACTGCCAGGCCCTGCTCACTGCAGCAGCTGCATAGCGCACTGGGAGATTCTCCTGGTCCAGGAGGGTCCACAAGCCCCACCGGGACGGGTGAAGGGGAGCGACTTTCCTGTCCTTCTTGCAAGTGGCCGCCAGGGGGAGCAGGCAGAGCTGCCTGCTGGACCCAGACCACCACCTTCCCCCACAGCCACAGGGGCCCCAGCTGCTCCAGCTCTGGACACCCTCCCTGCACCCACCAGCCTGGTTGTGAGCCAGATCACCTCCTCTAGCATCCGCCTGTCCTGGTCGCCGGCCCCTCAGCCGCCCCTCAAGTATCTCATCGTGTGGCGGCCTTCCAGGGGTGGTGTCCACCACGAGGTGAGTGGAATCTGAGTCTCTGGCTTGAGGGTCACCTGCAAAGAGCTGGGGCAGCAGCCGGGGCTTGGCCAGCAACAGCTGGACGGGGCTCCGATAGCTGTCACCAAGGGCTGGCATTCAGGCCCACATAACCAGGCCCACACGGAGAAAGGGCAGCTGGGGCAGGGACAGGGGAGGGTGCATGCAGACACAGAGCAGGAGCATCCTGGAGGTAGCTGAGGACCCCAGGTGAGGACCCTCATGACTGGTGGACAGACGGGCCTGTCCACTGTCTGGCCTGCCTGTGCCATGCTTGGTGGTGGGAACCCAACTGCCCGGGAGTGGAGACACTCATGTCCCCAAGCCCATGCTCGGGGGTCAGACTCCCTGCCCTCACCCCTTCTCCATTGGCGACGCCCTGCCCAGTCTGGTGGTGCTGTTTCAGGTGGTGTTGGAGGGGCCTGCAGCATCCGCGGAGCTTCGGAACCTGAGCTCCAGCACCGAGTACTCGGTGTCTGTGCTCCCTGTCTATGAGGGCGGGGTTGGCGAGGGCCTGCAGGGACTGGTGACCACAGGTGGGTAGGCATTGGTGGCCCCTTTCCCTCCCCTCAGGCCTGGCACCAGCAGGCGTGCAGCAGGCAGCCCCAGTGTGCCCCGTGCCTGGGCCTCTCTGACCCTAGGTGTTCTCATCTGACGCAGCCCGGCCCACAGTGTGTCGCTGAGGGCACTGCCCTCGGGCTACCGCAGCACCGTTCAACAGCTCTGTTAAACACAGTGCAGGCCACACAGCTCGGCCATTCCAAGTAGACAGTGCAGAAGCCAGCCGCGGCACACTAGCTGTGTGACCATCTCTTCAGTCTACTGCGGAGCTTACTGTTGCCCTCCATCCCCGGGGAAGACACTGTACACTTCTTCATCCCTAGATAAGCACTGTGTGCTCTGTCAGCATCACCCAGACCCCAGGCCCAGCCCTGGCATCCTCTGCTCTGCGCAGCTCCGGCTGCGCCCCTTTCCCGGTGTTCAGAGAAACAGCACCACGTGGTCTTTGTGGGGCTCCTCCCTCTCAGGCACATGCAGGGTGCTTGGGCTGCCCCGGGACCATGGGCCAGAACAGGGCCCCAGTAGAGTTTGGGAAAGTGGCTCAGGGTCAGTCGTGTGCCACCCTGGCCCGCCCTGTGCTGGCCTTTCCTCGAGGCCCACATGAAGCTTGAGTGTGTGCCATGTTCTCAAAGTGCCCACCTGTTGCCCTCCGCAGCGCCCCTCCCTCCACCCCGGGCACTGACCCTGGCTGCAGTGACACCCAGGACCCTCCGCCTCACCTGGCAGTCCTCGGCCGGGGCCAGGAAGTACCTGGTGCGGTGCTCACCAGCCTCCCCCAAGGGTGGGGAGAAGGGAAGAGAGGTAGGTGGCCTGCAGTGGGTGAGGAGGTGGAGACAGATGGCAGGGTGGCGGCCGCCCTCATGCCATGTCCCCCAGGTGCAGGTGGGGCAGCCTGAGGTGCTGCTGGATGGCCTGGAGCCAGGCAGGGACTATGTGGTCTCGGTGCAAAGCCTTCGAGGGCCAGAGGCCAGCGAGGCCCGGGGTGTCCACGCCAGAACCCGTGAGTCCCACCCAGCCAGCTGCCCTATGGCAGAGGCTCTACTCCCTTCCTAGCCTTCCCCGGGGAGGGTCTCACACCCCTCAGTCCTAGCACTGCCCCAGGCACAGGCAAGGGGGAGCTCAGCCCCGAGGCCTTGCTCTGCTCCACAGCTGCCCTGGCCCCCGCAAGACACCTGGGCTTCTCGGACGTGAGCCACGACTCAGCCCGTGTGACCTGGGAGGGCACTCAACGGCCCACACACCTCGTCAGGGTCAGCTACGTCTCCAGCGATGGTGGCCACACGGGACAGGTGAGAGCAGACCTGCCTGGAGCTCGAGTGTTCCCAGGGAACCTGGGACTCGGTGTCTACACGAAGACCCTGGGGGAGCCCAGGGGCCTCTCTGTCATCTCCCAAATTCAGTCCCTGGGCTGGCACAGAGGACAGGGTCAGCATCACCCCAGCCGTTAGGGTGCTTGGTGTGGTAGGAGTTGGGGAAAGACTGGGCAAAGGAGGGAACAAACACACACAGACCAACAGCCATAGCGCAGCTGCAGATAACCTTGTGGCGGCCAGGCCGGGCGGGATGGCCGGGGAGCAGAGAAGGAAGGCCCCTGCCCTGTGGGCTGTCCTAGGCTTCCATGGTCAGTCCTATTTTCTGTTCTGAGGGTCATACGGGGTCTAGGCTGCATGTCCCGGATTGGGGTCTCTTCCTGGCAGGGGTTCTGATGCCCAATGTGTCTGCCTGTGCCCCTGCTCCCTGCAGAAAGAGGCCCCTGGGAATGCCACCTCAGCCACTCTGGGCCCCCTCTTGTCCTCCACCACGTACACTGTCCGAGTCACCACCCTCCACGTCGGAGGCAGCCCCTCCACACTGACGGGCCGCGTGACCACAGGTGAGTAGGAGGGTGTGGGTTGGGCCCTAACATCTATATGTAATATCTGTGACATCTATAATATCTATAACATCTATATATAATTAATATAATTATTCTAACATCCATTAATATAATTACCCTGGCATGGGCTGCATGCACCCTCTGCCCCACTGCATGATTCAAATCCTCATGCGTGTGGTGCCGATCCAGGTAGGGACAAGAGCTGGACAGAGAGGTACAGTGAGGCGGGGCCCTGGGCTGCTGTCTCAAGGCCAGCACTCCACACTCTGGCCCCTGTTTCTGTCTTCCAGGGAAAGCGCCCAGCCCAAGCCAGCTGTCTGTGGCAGAACTGCCAGGGGACACCGTCAGGCTGACGTGGGCAGCTGCAGCCCCGTCCAGCGTGCTTGTCTACCAGATCAAGTGGACTCCCCTGGGAGAGGGGAAGGCCCACGAGGTGTGGGTGGGCAAAAGGGTGGGCGGAGCCTCAGAGAGGGGCCTCCAGACCCAGGTCCTGGTGCTGAGCTAGGGCTCGGGCCCTACGTGTGCCCAACCCATGCCTGTGTCTTGGGGACAGCCCCCTGCCCACAGCCTATGAGCAGGGTCTCCAGGACGAGGCCATGTCTGAGCCAGGTAGACACCAGACCCTCCTCTTTCAGATCTCTGTCCCAGGCACTCTCAACACTGCAGTCCTGCCTGGCCTGGGGAGGCACACGGAATACGAGATCACTATCCTGGCCTACTATAGAGATGGGGCCCGCAGTGACCCTGTGTCCCTCCACTACACCCCCTGTAGGTATCTCCTCCTCCACCTAGCTCCTGGGGCAGGAGCAGCCCAAGGGGGATCCTGGCTTCACCCAGCTCCACAGGCCTAGGAACTTAAACTCCCAGAATGTCGGTGTTCCTGGGATCCAGATGAATGGCATGGGTGACACAGGTTCTAGGCAGAGGCGGCCCAGGCTGAAGGACCTGCAGGGGCTTTGTGAGGTCTAGGCAGGGGCTTGGTGCGGCAACAGGCAAGGAGTGGTGCAGACTGGGCAGGGGCGGTGCCGAAGGCAGGGCAGGGCACAGAGCATGGTGTAGGGCCTTTCGCTTTTCCTCTGGCCCTCAGGGTGCCCCCTTTCTGCCAGCCCTAAGCCCCAGGATGCTTGTGCTCTTGTCCAGCTGCAGTGAGCAGGAGCCCCCCTTCAGGCCTGACCCTGTCCTTGGAGACCCCCAACAGCCTGCAAGTCAGCTGGACACCCCCAAGTGGCCCCGTTCTTCACTACCGGCTCAGCTACGCACCAGCCTCAGGCTTGGGACCTGAAAAATCAGTGAGTCTGAGGAGCTGGAAGCTGCTGTCCTTCGAGGGGCCCGCTGGGGCCACGGGGCCAGCGATGAGAGAGAAATAGCCCACCTGTCTGCTGAGGCTGGCCACTCCTCTGGGCAGAGAGGCAGCAGAGGGAGCCCAGCTTCAAATGAGCAGACACCCCGGGATGGGCCACTCACATGGTCCCTGCTCCCCAGATCTCTGTGCCAGGCCACAGAAGCCATGTCACACTCCCTGACCTACTGGCTGCCACCAAGTACAGCGTCCAGGTCTCAGCTGTCTACGGAGTAGGGGAGAGCGTGGCTGTGTCTGCCATAGGCCGAACAGGTGAGTGGCCACCAAGACCCCAGAACCAGCCACATGTCAGACCCAGCCAGATCCAAGCAGGCCCCAGCAGCCTAGACTTGCAGTGTCCTCCAGCAGGACATGGTAGGGACCGGGGAGGGGCCAGGCCTGTCTACACCCAGTAGTCACTGCTTACCCACTCCACACGGCCCAAGATGGCAGAGGGCCATGGTCGCAGACGGGGATTCCCATGAAACCTCCCCTTTCTAGAGTACAGCTGAGCTCCGGTGGGACCACAGCACCCCAAACAGAGCCTCCCCTCCAGACACCCCAGTCCAGGCCTGGCCTGCATGTCCCTAACTTCTAGGAGTCCGCAGGGCTGCAAAGGCCAGAGACAGAGCACGAGCCTGGGTGGAGTCCGGGTCACAGAGTCAGGCTGGCCTGCCCTTGGTCCTGTGGGGCCTCGCTCTCCCTGTGGCCCTGGGGTACCCTACAGGCCAGGCCCAGCAGGGAGGAGCCATCGCTTTGGGTTCCTTTACTGGTTTTCTTGGCCAACCACAATCCTCCACAGAGGCCCAAGTCCTCCACCTCACCCCGCTCCGGCCCCCTGTGTTGTCCGCATGGATGTGCTCTCTGAGTGGACAGCCAGTATGGTGGGCGGCAATTTCTGCCATCACCTGCACATATGGTGGGCATGGCCGCCCCAGTCTGGCCCACGCCCCACATCCCCTCTCCCTACTCCCAAGCTTCTCCCTGTCCTGCTGTCTGGGACCAGTGCCCCTCAGGACACAGCACCCAGCAGAACCCTCAGCTTTGGCCCGAGACCCACAAGGGGCAGGCTGTTGTTCCTGCCTCCTTCCAGAGGGGTGTGGTCCACAGGCCTCAGTGCAGGCACAGGGAGAGGGCACAGGTCCAGCTGTGGCCACACAGGAGGACAGGCGCTATGCCTGGGGTGCCCTCCTCTGGGGACCATGGAGCTCATGTAGCCTGTCTCCTTGCAGCAGCCTGCCCAGCCCTTCGCTGGAACGGATCCCTTCCAGGTAGGTCCTGAGCCCCAGAGACAGCTGTAGTCTGTTCTGTGCTGCCCTGCTTCTCTTAGGCTCTTCCTGGGGTGCAAGGGCCAAGGGAGCTGTGACCAAGGGCCCCACACAGAGTGCTGGAGGGTGTCAGGTGAGGCCTGTAGCCTCTCAGGTCCCCATGAGCCTGGCAGAGAGACTATCTTGCTTCACACTGGGGACTGAGGCTCATCCAAGGTTACCTGCAGTAGGTGCAGGCCAGAGGTGCTGGATCTGTCTTTCTGGCCCCGTGAGGCTCACAGCTGACCCAGAGCAGAGTGTGAGTGCTGAGCCTGGAAGGGCGGAATGGGTGCCTGGCTTAGGAGCATGGTCAGGTCGGGAGCTCTGCCCCGCGGGATGCTGTCCCCAGGATGTGGGGCAGGCGGTTGGCCCAGTGGTGTGAGGCTCTTTCACCTCAGGTCTAGAGAGGGAGCCTGGGGCTGGGGCTGCCTGAGCTGCTGTGGGGACCGTCGGGTGGGGGAGGCTGCCTCCCTGCAGTGATTACCAGGTCCATGCAAGGTGAATGAGAATTCGCCCCACTTTGTGCCGGTTAATTCTGGCGAAGGAGCATTGCTCTGAGAGCCGCAGTGGCTCCCGCTGTGCCATTGTCCACGCAGGGTGGGGGGCAGGCTGGGCTCAGGCCATGGAGCGTGGAGCTGGGGTCTGCTTGCTTGGGGCGACGGGGAGCTGCGGCTGGCTGCCGGGGCTCCGTCTCGGGGCCTCCCCAAGCCTGAGTCTCTACCCCATTCCTCCCCTCCGGTCTGATCGTCCCTGGTCACCCTTCCCTGTCCTGCCAGGGTTTGACCTCATGCTGGCCTTCGGCCTGGTGGAGAAGGAGTATGCCTCCAATCGAGGTGTGGCCATGGAGCCCTCGGCTTGGGGTGGGACCCCCACCTTCACACTCTTCAAGGATGCTCAGCTGACACGGAGGGCCAGGTGCGAGAGGCTCAGGGGCCAGTGGGGCTACAGGAGGCCAAGCAGGATAGCATGGGCAGAGCGGGGCGGGGGGGCTGCCCCACCCCCACGGCCAGAGCCTCGGGCCCTGACACCACTCTGCAAGTCACAGGCTGGCCTCGACTCAGGTGCTCCGGAAGTTCTCACTTTACAGATGGTCAAATCCCACAGGTTTGGAGTGAGGCTGCCTGTGGTGTTTTGCAGTCCCACAAAGGCCTTTCCCCTGTGTCCCAGACTCCCTCACACTTCCAGCCTCCTGTGTGGGGGCTGGGATGCGGAGGGGCTTTGATGGGCCCCACGCTTGCCGCGCACGCTCTCAGCATCTCCACCTGTGCCCGGCTCACAGGGACTGCTCCTGACTCGGGCGCTGGCCTCTGGCAGCTCGCGTCCCCTTTACCCTGGTGGTCAGACCCTAAGTCTGGCCGCAGTGCATGCAGTACAACTCCACAGCAGCGCAGGGGCTTCCCAGACCCCAGAGCAAGGCCATGAGACGAAAATAAGTGGCAGCCTCACGAGGCCACTGGTGTGCACAGCGTGGGCCCCTTCCACAGCCGTGGGGGGGGAGGCGCCTGGCCAGCTCTCGGCTGCTAGGATGTGGAGGTGTGGTTGTCCATCTAATGCACCTCCAAAGCCAGGGGGACTGCGGGACACTGGGCGGAGAGAAGGCCTGGGCAGCTGGCACCTGTGGGTAGGAAGAGCACGGGATCCATTCCCATCTCTGGAGAGGAGGAGCTCATGTCGGTCCGATCGCTTATTTATTGAAGAAAGCCCTTCCTGTTGCTGGGTTTGGCTTTTAGGAATGATCTGTTCTTTTAAAAAAAAAATTATAGAATTTAGCTTTTAAAATTTAATTTTAAGCTGATGCATAAAAACATAGGAAGCATGTCATGACCCCCAGTACAAGTGCACACTAGAAAGCATTTAAATCAGGGTGACCATACCTCTCCCCTCAAGCTCTGGCCAGCTGTTACGGTGGACACAGCCTCTCCTGATCTGCATGGCCGGCCGGTTGTCATTGCCTGTGTCGCCCGACCATGCAGCAATGCACCAGAGCCCGCTGCTCCCACCTCCCTGTCCTCAGGCCCTGACCAGCCTATGCCCACACTCCCTGCCCTCTGCCCAGCCCCTGGGGACACTGTTCCATCCACTCCTAGGAGGGTGGCCTCTCGGACTCCACCATGAGAGAGAGCGTGCGGCCCTGTGCCTCCCTCTGACGTGAGGGCACTTCGGGGTCACCGTGCTGTGGCAGGGCCTTCTCCCTCCCTGTGGCCCAGTTGCGTTCTGGTGGACACGGGCCACGCTGTCTCTTCCACCCCTCAGCTGATGGGTGCTTAGGCTGATTCCATGCCTTGCTCTTGTGCTGTGCCACCGAACACGGAGCCAGTGTCTCCTGCTGTCTTCCTGGCAGTGGGACGGCTGGGCCTCCGCCGCTCTCTTCCAAGCCTTTGAGACCCTGCCATTCTGTTTCCATGGTGACCGACCTGTCCACCTGCCCACCAGCATCACCAGACCCTTTCTCCGCAGCACTGTCCCCTTTTGCCTTTTGATAGCAGCCACTCTGCAGGGCTGGATGGTGTCTCCCTCTCCCCGTGGTTCTAACTCCCTTACCCCGGGGCTCAGTGCTGCTGGGTGTCATCCTGGCCCTTCCTGTCTCTGGGGAAGTCCACGTGGCAGGGCGGTCTTGCCACAGACTGGGGCCCACCTAGACATGGCATCTTTGCCACATCTCTTTCTGCCCTGGTCTGGCTGCGGCACCCCTCAGCTCTGTCCCCGCCATCGCTGTACAGGAGGGCAACTCCATCCTCGGTCCAGGCTCCAGCCTGGCTGCCACCAGCCTCAAGGGGCAGCGGGTGCACCAGAGCCCAGGCCACTGGGACTGTCGTTTCTGCCCCCCTGCGCCCTGCGCCTTCCCTGGCTCTGCTGTGAGGGCAACCCAGTGCCCATTCCCTTATTGCCCTGGATGGCTGACCTTTCCCAGGGTCCCAGTGTTTGTCTGCCAGGAGCCTTCAAGTGAGGAGCAGAGGCCCCCCCCCATGCTCAGCCAGCACATGTGACCCCACACCATGGTGCTCACTGAGAAGAGGACCCTAGCTTAGAGTAGAAGGGGCCAGAAAGGCTTCCTGAGGAGGCAGCAGAGAATAAGAGCCACAGGGAAAGGGGCTGGGGGATAAGGATGCAGAAAGTGGTATGTGCCAAGGCACTGGGGTCAGTGTGCTCAATGAACTGCAGGAATGTGCCAGAGCTGGGTCTTTCTGAATCTTTATTTTGATCCTAAAAGCAAATGAAGGCAAAAGAGAAGGCTGCAGGCCAAAGGGAACAACTTTATTGGGTGGTCCAAGGTGCCAATCTCTACCCATGCCCTGCCTCTCAGTGAATCTGGACCAGCAGGGTGAGGACTCCCACACCCGCTCTTAGCATTTGGACAGGTGTAGCTGCCAGAAGCGGGTCCTCAGGCCAGAGCTGCCTGGGCTGTGGCTCCTGACTCACATGACCAGGAACCCTCCTGGGGTGTCCTTGCCAGCCTCTCCCACCCCCGTGGGGCCCTTCGCACAGGTGCCCCCAGCACGCATTGAGCCCAGTGCCCTGTTGGGGAGCCTGTGCTCCACATACCCATGTTGCTCATGGGGAAACTGAGGCAGGGAGCTCCGGGAGAGGACCGGAAGGCTGGGCGTAGCATGACTGCCCAGGGCTTCCGTCTGTGCCGCGCGGCCCACCCCACTGCTCACATTCTCTCCTGCGCCCCTAGCGACGTCCACCCAGCCTCGCTCCCGCCCGAACACACCATCGTCTTCCTTGTGCGCCTGCTCCCGGAGACGCCCCGCGAGGCCTTTGCGCTGTGGCAGATGACGACGGAGGACTTCCAGCCTGTCCTCGGGGTTCTTCTGGACGGTACTGTGGCCGGGCGGCAGAGGGGGCTGCAGGGTCTCTGCAGCAGGGGCCCCAAAGCTTCTCTCAGTACCATGCACATTCAGAGGCTCTGCACGCGCAGGGCAGCTCCTGCCTTCCTGGGGAGCCCCTGTCCGGGCCTGTCCCATCCACTCTGTCCTTCCCATCCCTCGGGCTCTGAGACCACTCTCACCTGCCCCTTGCCCTTCCCTGGCAGCCAGCAGGAAGTCACTGACCTACTTCACCCACAACCCGAGGGCCGCCTTGCAGGAGGTCACCTTTGACCTGCAGGAGGTGAAGAAGATTTTCTTCGGGAGCTTCCACAAGGTCAGCTGTCTGCCCGAGCCCATGGCCCTGCCCTCTGAGCTGCCCTGGCCTGCACTCGGTGCCCTCCTCCGAGCACCAGACCTGGCCCTGAGGCCCCTTTGTACCATTGCTCATCTTCATTTGGGCCAAACAGCAACCCAGGCCTCCTGTTGGGGAGGCGCCCATGGCAGGTGTCAGAGGAAAGCCGAGGCCCCGTGAGGTGGGTCCCCAGGTGCGGGGGCCCATGCATGGGCAGGACACAGTCCAGCCCCAGGTGGTGGCCCTTGATCGCCTGTTTAGTATGGACCTGGCAGCCAGGACAGTGCTGACCCTAGCCTGGGCAGTGGGGGACCCCTGTGCTGTCTTGACAGGTCCACGTGGCTGTGGGCCACGCCAAGGTCCGACTCTACGTGGACTGCCGGAAGGTGGCCGAGAGGCCCCTGGGAGAGGCTGGCAGGTCACCCATCACTGGCTTTGTCACCCTGGGGAGGCTGGCCAAGGCTCGGGGCCCCCGGAGCAGCTCAGCCACGGTGAGTCTGGGCCTTGTCTTGCAGGGCGGTGGGGCCTGTGCCTGGACCTGCATCCCACTGACCTGCGCTCCTGTGGTCTAGTTCCAGCTCCAGATGCTGCAGATCCTGTGCAGTGACACTTGGGCGGATGAGGACAGGTGCTGTGAGCTCCCTGCATCGGTAGGTGCCAGAGGCCAGGCCAGCCACTGCCTCAGCCACATGTGCACACCCACCCAAGGGCCAGAGTCGGGACAGGCCTGTGTGGATGGTCAGTGTGCTGTGACCAGGGCAGGCTTCCTGGAGAAGGGTGGCTGGATGGGAGAGTCCTGGAGGCCCTGGGCAGGCTGGGAGGCCCCCTTTTCAGACCCAGCCAGGTTACACATAGGCCAAGAAGGAGACTCAGCAGCCTCAGGCCTGTGCCAGGGTCCTCGCGGGTTCCATGCATGCCCAGCCCTGGCCCAGCTGTGCTGGGTGACTGGAAGGGAGTGTGAGGGCGACGGTACTATCCTTCCCTAAGGGCTCCTGGGGCTGTGCACACAGGGGCTTAGCATCCTGCACCCTGGACCTGCCACGGACACTTCCACCCCCAACCAGGGGCATCTGGAGGTTCCCCTGGAGCCCTTGGTCTGATAGGACCCAGGGGACGGTGCCCTGAACACGCGGTCTTCTTTCTTCCAGAAGGACAAAGAGACGTGCCCAGCCTTCTCCCCTGCCTGTTCCTGTTCTTCTGATAGCACTGGGCCCCCGGGGCCCCAAGGCCCTCCAGTGAGTCCAGCAGCCTGTGTTCTGGCAAGGGTCTAGCTGGCATCTGGCTGCCATGGCAGCATGGGGCAGCCCCCCTCCAGCAGGAGCCCGGTCCTCAGGCCTGCCACACAGAAGGGACACCTGTGTGCCTCCTCCCTGCCACATGCACCCAGCCCATGAGCCAGGCCCTCCCTTCTCTGCCATGGGTGGGTGCTAACCCCTGCCTGGTGTGGAATCCAGCGTTCCCAACAAGTCCCTGTCAGGATGGGCGCCAGGCACAGTGGCCTCTGGGACCCTGTGGCATGGTCTGGCCCAAGGCACAGCCCCACAGGTGGCTGCACTGGGTGCTCTGGGTGGGCATTCAGCCACCTGCAACAGGTGCTGCAGGATCCTTTCTGCCAGGCCGCAGGGTGGTGGCTTTCTGGGCCTTGGGCCCTGCTGCAGGAGAGGTGCTCAGACTGGCCTGCCAGAGCTACCTCTGCCAGCTCAGCCAGGCTCCCGTGTGGGCACATTCAGAGCGCTCCCACTGAGCTTGGCAGCCCACGGAACTCCCAGTGTCTAAACTCTGCCTGAGCCTAGTGCGTGGAGGGAGAAGGAGGCCAGCATGTCCCTGCCCTTGGAAGGCCCTTCCCCAACCACAGGGACAGGAGTCCAGGGCCAGGCAAGGCTGGAGGGTCTGTCGAGGGGGAGGTGCCTAGGAAGAGCGAGGGTCAGGGTGGTTAGGGCTCAGCCCTGTCTGTGCCTTCCCAGGGCCTCCCAGGCAGGAACGGTGCCTCAGGACAGCAGGGCCTCCCAGGGCCCAAGGTGAGTCTGGTGGGGCACAGGTGAGCAGGGTCTGACCGGTTGAGGAAGGCCTCCCGGCACGCTCAGAACACAAGCGAGCAAGCTGCAATCCCCTTCCCCAGGCGCAGATGGGAGGGCACCCCAAACTGGGGACAGGCAGGGAGCCACTGCTCCAGGGAACTTGGAGGTCAGCCTGCATTCCCCTCACCTGCTGGACGCTGGCCCTGAGCCTCAGGTTCAGTGGATGCGCCCTCTCCACCCACCCCACCCTGGTGGCAGGGTCTTCCTATGGCATGGATGGGCTACGGACGTGGGAGGCAAGCCGCCCATCCAGTTGCTGCCCTTTCCTACACTCTTGGACACTTGCTGAGGAGGCCAAGTTCCCAGAGTGGCTTCGCACACGGGCCAGGCACACTTGGGGACAAGGGTCTGGCTCAGCAGAGGCGCACGGCAGACGGTGTCCCCAGCAATGCCACCAGTGCCCATGCCAGCTGGGGAGGGTGCCCTCCTGGCTGAGGTCCAGATGGGCCTAAGTCACAGTGTTGCCTGCACGTGGCTCAAGGTGCCACCTGGCTGCCTCCCCAAAGGTCCTGCGGGTCTCGGGTGGGGCAGAGCTGGCTGGTCCTCAGGCCAGGACCATGGTCAACGGTGGCCAGTCTGCTGCTGGGGCACAGAGGCCCCTCGGCTCCACTGTTATGGACTGTGCTGCTCTGCTCTGCCCTGTGTGGTGGGCGCAGAGGGCCAAGCAGACCCCACAGAGGTGCCACCTGCATCCTCAGCTGATGTTGGCCGGGTGGGCCGGCCGGCCGGTGAGACAGCACCTTGGGTGTTATGTGCATCTCTCTGGTCTCTCCTTGGAGACGTGTCCTCCACCCTTTACTGCGGTGCATTTCTCAGGAGTGGCTTTCTCTGTGTGGAGTGAGTCAGTGTGCTCTGGGAAGAGGGCACTGCACTTGCCACCTTGTGTCCCTAGCCCTCACTTCTGACCTGTCTTTCCATACAGACTTCTAAGGAATCTCAGCCAGCCTCACTGGTCTGTATTCGTGGCTTTGAGCTTTGTAAGCCACTGTAAAGGCCTTCCGTAGTCTGGGGTAGGAAGCGCGCATCCTCGGGTCCCTCCCCGCCTCCAGGGCCTCTCACTCGGGTGCAGTGGGTCCTCACCTGTGTACTTGGTTTGAAGCAGATGAGAACCGACAGCAGCTCTTCCCAGACTCGCCCCAACCGCCTCTCTGGGGTGTTCCATCCCACCTGCTCACGTGTGCATCTTCATATGCAAGGCCTTTGCCTCTCACATCACACTCGGCCTTCTGCCGGAACCAGTCCCCACAGAGAACAAGGGAGCACTGTGCTTTAGATTTGTTTAAAAATTTGGTATCATGCTGGGTGTGCTGGTGCACACCTACAATCCCAGCACTGGGGAAGCTGAGGCAGGACCACCACTGTGAGTTTGAGCTAACCTGGATTACATAGTGAGTTCAAGGCCAGCCTGAACTACATAGAGACCCTGCCTCAAATGACCAAAAATTTTCTTCAGTACCTAGGGGTGTTGGTCCTCAGCTGTTTTTCCCCAGAATGTCCCCGGCCCTCTTTGCTTATTTCATTATTCACTGAACTGTAGAACCCACTTGTCCATCTACCCTAAAAACTTCAACTGGTGTCTTTATTGGAATCACATTCAGTAGATAGCTGTGCTTAGGAACAAGTGACTTTACAATCCAGCTCCTCTTGCACAGAAACATGGCATGGCCATCCTTCCATGCTGCGTTGTTTTGGGTACTGGAGATTGAACCTAGAGCCTTCGTGCTGACCTACCTCTGCAGCCTGCCTGCCTGCCTGCCTTCCTTCCTTTCTTTTTCTTATTTCATGGCACCTGGGATTAAACTCTGGACCTTGTGCTTACAAGGCAGGTGTGGTGCCACTGGGCTACATCCCTGGCCCACTCTTTCTGTTTTTTATTTTGACCAGAATCTCACTGAGTCATTAAGTTGCCTAGGCTGGGCTGGAACTTTTGCTCCCAGAGTGCCAGGATTACCACACCCGTTTCATTGTCTCCGTGTCTTTGTGACCTGGAGTGAAACTTTCAGGAAGTCACTTCTCCTCAGAGCCCTGGGCTCTCTCTCCCCTCTGAATGCCACACTTCTGCCAGCATTCGAGGTGAGGTATTTTCCTCTCATTGTAGCTTCTGTAGCAGTTTTTGTTTAGGGTCTGTATCTCTGAAGATTATTTCTGTTTCTAGCTCTCACTCTCTCTGTCTCTCTCTCTCTCTCTTTCTCTCTCTTTAACCTCCTGGTACTGGGTTTTGAACTCAGGACCTTGCGCTTTCGAGACAGGTGGGGAGCCACTGAGCTAAATCCCTGGCCTTATTTCCATGTTTCTTACTCCATTCTTATTTGTGACACTGTCTTTATTTCCAGGTGGTTTTTCTTGGATTTTTCTGGAGTTACAGTGATATAACCTGCAAATAACTACCTGACCTACTCCTCTCTGATTTCTCTTTCTTTTCTTTTTGGTACAGTGTATGGAACTCAGGACCTTGCACTTGCCAGGCACATGCGGCACCACTGAGCTAAATCCCAGGCCCTGATTTCTCTTTCTTGCCTAATTTGCTCAGCCTCCTCTGGGCTGAACAGAAATGCCCAGCTCTGGCTGCTGAGTAGGGAGTAGACTTGGAAGCTGAAACAGATATATTTTGTCACATGATAGTAAAATCCATTTATTCTTAATTTATTATGGGATTTTAAAATCAGAAATGGATGTTAAATAAGATTTAGTGCTTGTTCAGAGGTTGTGGACATGGTGAAATAATTTCTCCCCAAAGCTGTTTGCTATTAATTTGGCCTGTCCCCAGACACCAGCCACCCTCGCATCCATTAAAAAGCCAGCTCTGTCCCTGGTCCCTCACAGCCCCCGTGCATCATGCTGCAGGCTCTGCTCACTGACACTTTATTTATGGTTTGTGCTGTGTGGTTTGCCTTACAGAGTTTGGAACGTTGATTTGCTCAATTCAAAAAATAATTTGAAAGTATGTTTTCCTCCCCAATTTCAAACAATTTAAACAGCCTTGTGTCATTGGCCCCTTAGAATTTGTGTTTGCAGTGAAACCTGAGTCTGGTGTTTTGGGGTTCACAGAGTAAGGAAAACCTTAGTGCCTTCTGTGTGCCTGGCCAAGGGCGCCTGCTCCTCCCCAGCCCTGTGGAACCCAGACTGGGGGCCTGCGGGAGGCGGGCGGCACTGGCCTCCAGTCCTGACTCTGCCCTTGGCTCAGCTCATCTGTGGCCCTGGAGAAGTCACCTTGCTGGCTTGCTCTGGATGGGGTCACACCGGGGCCTCCCAGGCAGGTACAAGGGCTGGCAGGGCATGGGGTAGTGGTGGGGAGACCTTCTTAGTCCCCCCAATGTGTCTTCAGGGAGAGCCAGGGCCACCAGGACAGACAGGACCAGAGGGCCCTGGGGGACAGCAGGGGTTGCCAGGGACCCAGGGCCGTGCAATCCAAGGGCCTGTGGTAGGTGCTCCCCCACCCCTGCCTGCCTCCCCGCTGCCCCTCCTCCCTGCTGCCCAACCACCTTCCTCTCCAGGGTCCACCAGGGGTCAAAGGAGAGAAGGGCGACTACGGACTTCCAGGCTTGCAGGTAGCATGGGCCGGTCTGCAGCATGGCAGGGCTGAAAGCAGTGCCCTGCTCCGGATATGACCGTGGGCCCCGCCTGGCTGGCCCACTCTTTTCAGGGCCATCCTGGCCAGCAAGGCGCTCCGGGGAGAGTTGGCCTCCAGGGACCAAAGGTACTGGCTCTGACGTGGATACCACATGGCGGGCGAGAGGCTGGGGATGCAGGTTGGGGGAGGGACTCCTCCACGCTGCACCCCAAACACCCTGTATCCTGGCCCACAGAGAGGGGAGCCCTAGCCCACACCAGGGCCAGGTGCCATTGCTCCCTGGGGTTGCTGAGGGCAGCAGCTCAGCCGGCTTGGATAGCCTGGGGCGGGTATGTGCCCACCTCCTCTGTGGGTGGCTTGTGCCCAGCACACCCTTCTCCCACCAGGGAATGCGAGGACTAGAGGGGCCTGCTGGCCTGCCTGGACCCCCTGGCCCCCGGGTAGGCACCGCCTCCACTGAGCGCTCACCAGCACCCCTGAGGCTCCCGGGGGCCAGGCACAGCTAGCCCGGGAGAAGGATTGGACACCGCCTTCCACTGTCCAGCCACCCAGGAAGTGATCTGGAGGCCTCGTACCTGCTGGAACCTCCTCCAGGGTTCTGCATCCGGGCCTGGAGCACATTTCTGTGGAGAGGCACCATTTTCACAGCCACCCCTCACTCCTGCGCCCCAACTTTGTGGGATGGGGTATAGGGCTCCTGGTTGGACCTGCTAGGGGTGGGGACCAGGCCGGCTGTGGGGACACAATCCCCACCGCTGCACCTGCTGTGAGGTTCCCAGGGGCCTGAGTGTCAAAATCTGCTTGGGGGCTCTGACCTTGAAAGGACCTTCCCGCCCCAGCTCAGCCCTTCCTGGGGTTTTCACTGTGACCTATACGCCTGGCAGACCCTTGGGTGGGTCTCAGCTGGCATCTCCTGCAGGCTGCCCCTGGGAGTGGTCATGCCCCCACTCTACCAGCAACCTGGGTGCAGCGTGGGGACATTTAGTGCACAAGAAGCTGTGACAGGCAGCTGGCTGGGGCCCTGGTGTCGGGCTGGGGGGCAGGACTTGGGCCAGGCTGGGGAGGTCTGAGGTGGCTGAAGCAGAGCTCAGAGGTCTGGCCTTGTCGGCAGCAGGGCTCCAGCTGCTCGGGACCGGGACCAAGGGGGCACACTCACTCGGGCTCCAGCCGAGCCCGACTTCCACTCTCTGCAGGGGTTCCAAGGCTTGGCGGGAGCCAGGGGCACCAGCGGGGAGCGAGGGCCCCCAGGGGCTGTGGGGCCAACGGTAAGTCCCCTCCTCGCCCGGCCAGCCAAGAGCACAGTGAGCTGCTGTGTCCGGGAAGAGAGACTTCCCGCTCCCCAGTGGAGCTGGGGCTGGAGACCGGGCTGGGAAAGCTGGGAGAGGGTAGAGAGCTCCTTTGGAGCCAGCACCCCTGGGAGACTGACGCGGCTGCAGGCAAGTGGAGGGCTCCAGTAGTCTCACCAGGTCCCAAGCTCCAGTCCCTACTGCAGGACATCGAGTCCGGTCTGCCTGCTCTGGGGTGTAGGTGGGGGGCACACGCTCCTCGGATTTGGGAATCCAGGCTGGGACTTTGTGTCACCACCCGGTGGGGTCCCACGCCCTGGTAGCTGAAGCCCAGGCTACAAGTGGGTCAGGAAGCAGGCCCTGTCACAGCTGCCACAGCCTCCAGGGTCCTCACCAGCTTTTCTCCTCTGCCTCCTGCTGCAGGGGCTGCCAGGACCCAAAGGGGAGCGAGGAGAGAAGGTGGGTGAGGTGGAGTTGTCTGGGTCTTCGGCCCAGCTCTGGTGGCCAGGCCTCCCCGGGCGGTGCTGGCTGCTGGTCCCAGAGCCTCATCGTCCCTCCAGGGGGAGCCTCAGTCCCTCGCTGCCATCTTGCAGCTGGTGAGCCAGGCCTGCCAGTCGGCCATCCAGGGTAAGTGAGGCCTCGCTGCCTACCCGCCGCCCTCTCCTCACGCCAGGCTGGCTTCCTGCTGACCACCTCCTCCCCCAGCACACCTGCTCAAGCTGGACTCCTTCCTCCATGAGAACACCAGGCCTCCGATGCCCATCCTGGTGGAGAGAGCCGAGCCAGGCAGGCCTGGGCCCCTGGGGACCCCCAGTCTGCAAAGAAAGTCCTCACTTCCTGGAGAACAGCGACACAGGGTCTACCACCCTGAGCACCAAGGTACCAGGCTTCCTGCTATTGCGGAGGGGCTCTGGGGCTAGGGATATAGCCATTCCCCTGTTCCTGGGCTGGTTCTGTGTGTGCATGCATGCGTGTGTGTGTGCGTGTGTGCGTGCGTGCGTGTGTGTGTGTGTGTGTGTGTGTGTGTTTCTGTGACTCCCCTGACTTGTCAGGAATGAGCTGAATCCCACTCTACCCTGATGGTGTCTCAGGGAGCTGGGGATAGGTGCAGGGAGCCACAGGGGACATGGAACCCTTGCCCTGTCCTGGTCACTGGCCCAATGATAGTGCCTAGCTGGGGCCCATGGGCCAGGGTGCTGCCATCCTGAACTTTCGGACCCCTGGGGTCCAGACCTGTTGCCCCTGGTCAGAACACAGCCCCAAGAAAGGGAGGTATGGCCTCTGCACCTCTCGGTCCTGGCTCATCCCTCTCCTCTCAGGCCAGCCTGTAGCTGTCAGCCAGCTGGGCAGCCCTGGGCCGCAGGGGAGCCGGGCCCCAGCACCCCAGGAGGGACAGGTGAGTCTGGCATGGCACCCACCAAGGGACACACACGCCCGGGGAGAAAGGTGGCTGGGTGGGGGGCACACAGAAGGTGCAGTGACCCCTCCCCACAGCAGGGGGCCCCAGGCCCCCACGGGAGCCAACCAGGCAGGCCTCCCAAAAGAGGCCAGCAGCAGGGCGGAAGCAGGCCCAACATGCTGGCTGGACAGGGAGCCACAGGGCACGGGTGGCAAGGGCAGGGGTGGGAGGGATTGTGAGTCTTGGAAGAACCAGAGACAGGATGGGAGGCCCTGAGCAGGCTTAGCCCTGCAAGCAAGGAGCAGCTCAGGTGAGCACCCAGGACACCTGGCCAGTGGGAGGTTCTGGGAGTCCGGAGTGTTCCAGAGGCCCTGGGTGAGCACAGTGGGTCAGGGCGGCAGTGTCGTGGCACCAGGGACCTCTGCACTCCCACAAGCAAGCACCGCGGTGTGCACAGACCCCAGCCTGTCTCCTGGAGGTAGAGGTGGGCACAGGTGGGCGCAGCAGAGCTTCATCCCCAGCGGCTTCAGGAGTCAGAGGAGTTGGGGAGAGGACAGGGCCAGCGCCGGCACGCAGAGAGCTGAGGAGCACGAGTGGGGATGAGGACAGGCGGCCGGCGAGGCGAGGGACGCTGCCTGTGGGCCCGGCCACAGCCCGGGCAGTGCAGCAGCCTTGTCCCTGCCCAGCAGGCTCTGCTGTGCCATGCCTAGAGGGTGGGCGTGCTGCTGAGCGACACCCACTGCGGCGGCCTCTCCACCTGTCTGCCCTCTCCCACCAGGACACACCCCGCGCTGCGTTGAGTGACCCTGGACCTTCCGTCCACACCTTCCCCAGGGCGTCTGGAGAGCCAAGAACGAGACCCCAGAAGAGTGAAGTGGGGGAGGGGTGAAGACACGCAGTGCGCCCGGCGTGTTCTGTAGCAGTTCCGAGTCAGATAAATCACCGAGGCTCAGTCAGCACCGGTGCCCGTCACTGCAGGGGCGGGCGTGTCCACACTGCTCACTGTTACTTCAGGCCTCACACAGAACACGGTCTGGATTTCTGGCTCCTTCCTTAGGGCCTCACTTGAATCCTGGGCTGTGCCCTGGCTCACCTGCTCACCTTCCATCATAGGTACACCAGCCTGTGTCCTCCACCCACCCAGGTTCCTGTCACACTAGGGGTGAAGCCCAGGCTTCCTTCTCACCAGCTCCAGAATGCAACAGGCTTCCTGCCATGCCCACCCCAGGGCCTTGGCACACACTGTTTCTTCTACCAGGCTCTTCCCCCAGGCAGTCACTGCTGTCTGCACTGACCCTACCTCAGAACCACGGCCCCACCGTGGTTCCAGTGTCCCTGTCAGCCCCCTGTGTCTGGGTACGAGCAGAGCTTTTTCCCCACTCTGTCCCTAGCCCAAGGAGTCCTGATTGACACCTCACATGCTCAGCCTCTGCACTGGGTTCCTCGTCCTCGGGCTCAGAGCAAGGTACCCCCATCCCACTGTGCCCCCACACTTCAGTCCCTGGTCTCTCCCCAGTGGGATTCATGCACCTATCCCAGAGTCGCTGGGCATGGAGACCAGTAGGGGTGGGAGGAAGGACCAAGAGCCAGGAGCAAGCACCGTGCACCCAAGGGAGATACATCCCTGCCAGCCCCATTGCAAACCCCACCGTGCAGCATGGCGCACTGCCAGAGCCCGCACAGGTCTGCAGGCCACACCGCCAGTGAGGTCTGAGGAGGTGCAGCAGCTGACAGTGGACTCAGCCCCGAGGTGCAGCTCATGTGCAGCATCAGAGTCACAGAGCAGGGGCCCAGCTGACCGCATCCCTGCAGAAGGACGCCCAGACCACTGGGTTCTGTCTGGAGCCGGCATAGCAGGGCTCAGTGTCTGGCCAGTGGCACAGCTTGGCTGGCGACTCTGTCTCTCCAAAGTGGAAATTGTGGGGCTTTGAGCAGCAGGACCAAGGGAGGGCCACATTGACAGCAGGGGAGGCAGCCTGGAGGTGCCAGGGCTGGCCAGGGTCCACAGTGCCCACCTGCACCCAGGCAGCCAGAACCAGCCTAGGGCTGTGCATGGAGCATGGCTGGCCTAATGCCCAGGGCTGGGAGGCCACAAGCTCAGGAAAAGTTCAGGGGTGGGTCCCTGAGGCAGGAGGGGAAGGGGTGATGCTGGGTTCCACCGGAGTCCTGGTCCTGGGAGCAGGCTGCCAGCCAAGCGTGATAGCCACTGCATGGAGTGGTCTCCAGGTGGTATCAGGAGTGGAGGAGGGAAAGAACCACAGGCAGGGAGGAGCTAGGGGAAACCACAGTGCTTGGAACCCTCCTAGGCCCACATATCTATAGAACCAATTTAAATGCCAGATACACTGGCTTCAGAAAACGACCAAGACGCCTGGCAACGAAACGGCCACCTATCAAAGGGCCCTGCCCCTCCCTGCTAGTCTGGGAAAGGCCAAGAAGTGGAGCTGGCACAACTGGGACCCTTCCATAGCCAGGCGTGCTGGCACATGCCTGTAACCCAAGCACCCTAGGAGGCTAAGGCAAGAGGGTTGCAAATTCAAGCCCAGCCACAGTAATTTAGTGACTTAGTGAGACCCTGTCTCAAAAAACTAGGGAAGGGAACGGAAGGGGAGAGGATGCAATCGGGGATGTTACTTAGTACAAAGCCCTGGGTTCAATCCCTGGTACTAAAAAAAACCTTTCATCAAATAGTGAGGACTCAGTACTCTCATACTGAGGTACATGAGAAGGGAAACATGGACAGAAACAAGCGGATCTGACCACGCTACACCGCACGAAGATGGGTCCATGTTCTCCGTGGCCCATTCGTTTTAAAAAACTCATATGCCAGGGACAAAGAGGGTTATTAACAACATGAAGCCAGAGATAGCAGGCGAGAATCAAGGAGCACCAACTGGAAATGTGGTGAACATAAACAGAGACAAATGTCAATAAGGAAATCCCAGTGAGAAATGGACGCAGCCGACATCATCAGCGAGCTGTGGGGTCAGGGCTAGGGAGTCTCCAGAAGCTTTGAGGACTTAAAAAGCAGAAAATTCACATTCTGATTCCCACATGACAAGGAGGAGAGAAACAATGAACAAACAGGGGTAGGAATGTGAAATGACTAGTCCTTGAAGATTTGAGCATTAGAGAAATCTTTCAGATCTCAGATTAAAAGGGCTCTGAGCTCCAAGTGGGGTAGATTTTGAATGTGCCCTCAGATTAGTTTATTCAGTACAGAATGAAGACAGTGAAAGCTGGTTAAGAAATCCTCACAGGGAAAACCCACAGCCAAACCACAGAAGCTCAAGAACGAGATGATGGCAGCAGGGGTGAGAACAACAGCTCCACTGTGTGGAGGAAGAAACAAATGTTATATCCAGCAGAATTATCACTTAAGCGACAAGGGAAAGACAGCTTGGGGCCCACAGACTTTCTAGGTGTAACACAGGACCCTCTTAGAAAACCTGCCAGAAGGTATATTCTACCAGGAGGGGAATTTCCAGGGACACAGAAGAATCCCATGGTAAGGGGAAACCCTGTGCTGTGTCCAGTATGGACAGAATGACCAAGTCCTTTCTGCCTTCAGCAAGCGAGACTGAAATGCTAGACTATTCTAACATGGCTGATACGCAGAGGTGGCTAAGGCACCCTGTTGCTGGGAGTGGAGGCAGGGTAGAGACCCTTCTCAGATCAATTTAGTAAGCCTTTGAAGAAAGTAAGCATTTAAGTTAGGAGCAGCCACAAGAAGTGTAAGAGCAAGTTATACCCTTCGAGCATAGCTGACAAGATCCTATGTTCTTCAGAGGGCACGGACATATTGTGTAAAAATAAGAGATGGCCCAGATATCTCCAAGTGTAGCAGAACCTGCAGTGAACATACGTGAGCTCCACTTACTGACAGATGAATTCTCCAAATAACATTAAAACACAAGTTATGGCTGCCTACTGCTTCCAGCTACTATGGAGTAACTAATTCTGGACCCAAAACCACCCAAACTGTAAAACCTATGGGGCACTGTTCAGCATTTCACAGGAAAAGACAGCTTTTCAACAAATAGAGACAAAACAGCTCAATGTCTGAATAACAAAGGACAACGTGCCTCCAGCCTATGCTGTACCAGGCTGTGGTGCTGTACAAATACAGTGACCCAACAACACCGGACCCTGGACACCACAGAGGGAGGTGCAGTCCCAGAGAAAATCTAGGACACGCCCTCTCGGGTGGGCTGTGATTTCTTAGGCAGGATCCAGAATAACGATAAAAGGGAAAAGTAAGTGACACCTCATCAAATTTAAAAGCTTTTCTTTGCAAGACATCATTAAGAGAAAAAGAGGACAGTCACAGACAGAGAGGAAAGATGCCTGCTGTCCACACCTGACAGCAGTCTTCTACCCAGAATGTAAAAATACGCCCTGCTACTCACAAAAAGAAGCCAAGCTGATGAAACAGTGGGCAAAATATTCTGGCAGATGCTTCACCCTAGGATGGTGTCAAGTGGCCAGGAAAGCTGCCCCCTGGTCACCAGGGAAGTCAGAATCATCCTCTCTCTGGAATGGGTTCATAGTAAAAGACTGAAACCACCACGTATGAAGATGTCAGAGATGTGAAAACCATGCTGGAAGACAGCTTGGCAGGTCTTCATAAAGATAAAGACATAACTTTTGTAAGACGCAGCAATTCCACTAGGTACTTGCCTGAAAGAAATGAAACAGAAGTCCACAAAGAAACTCATGCATGAATATTCACGGCCGCTTTCTTCATGAGTCTTCATAATGAAAGGCATCTAGCCCATCAGTGAGTCAAATCTCACATATACACCTGCTATTCAAAGATCGGAAACACACTGAGTGACGGAGGCCATGAAAGGAAACTCTAAAACATGCATGAACAGACTATGTGATCGAAACTGGATTGGGGAGTCTCCAGGTTCTGCTACAGAGAGATAGGAAAGACCTCTGGGGTGGTTAAGATTCCGAACTCACTTATCCGCTGCCTGTCAGAAGCTCGTGTGCTGTGTCAGCACACAGGTGAAGGGAAAAGGTAAGATGGGAAAGGTGGGTCACGCAACGCTGCCAGAAGAAAGCTGGAGTGGCCGTGTCACTGTCAGAAAAAGTAGGCTTTGAGACACAGGAAGTTACCAGGGCAGGGAGGGACATTACATGACAAAGGAACACAGCAGAACGCCCAGGTTTGAGAAGCAGAAACAGCAGAAGGGATGGGGGACAGATCCACAGTCATGCCTGGGGACACTGGCTCCTCCCCTCGTAGAAACCCATAGAAAAAGACAGGAAATTAACAAGGGAAGGAGGAGAAGACCTGATGCCACTGTCACCCTGATGGACCTGGTCAGCATTTCTAGAGCATTCTCCACAACAAAAGGAAATGAATTATTTTCCAGTGTATTTGGGACACTAACCAACACAGATCACATGCAAGGACCCAAGACACACGCGACAAGTTCAAAAGAACTGGATCAAACAGGCTATTTCTCTGACTACCAAGGAACCAAATTAGAAATCAATGGTAAAGATGGGGAAATTAACAAAAGGACAAGAGGCATTTTATAGAAAAACACAACCTGATAAATACACAACCAGGTGCCCTTAGCAGTTAAGAAGTGTTATCCAGGGTTAAGGGACAGCACTTAAGAAGCGAAACTCCAGCCACGGCGGAGACAACTGCATTCCCACCAGGTGGCAGCAAGCAGGAACCTTGGTGTAGACAGGGCTCCGGGAAAGCTGGTGGGAGGTGGTTTCCTTGATACAACCACTGTAGAAAACAGTTTGACGCCACGCACCTCCTACACCTGAGCCATCCGCCCCAGGTCTGTGTCCAACAGAAGCGTGTAGATCAACACCTCTCACAGCAGCTGGAACCTGCGAATCCACACATCCGTCACCACAATGGGCAGGTAATGGTACAGTAGTCCCCCTCCACCCCGCCAGCACATGAAAACAACTCCAGACAGGCTGAGGAAAGGAAGCCAGGCACAAGAGTGCACCCTCCAGAACGCCAAGCCCACCCACCGAGGGGTGGATTGCAGCTGGCTGCTGGGGAGGGGCTCTGGGTGCCAGTAACATGGGCAGTCCAGTCCGGGAGCAGGCACGCAGCTGTGCCATGGATGAGTCACGTGTGCGGTACGAACGTCAGCCCACAAGGCAGGCAAATACCAAAAAAGGTCAGCCAGGATTAGGGAAACAGACACGCCGTCTATGGAGGGTGAGAATGTGGAACGGCATGATCACATGGAAACATTTTTGCATTATCTTCTAAAACCCCAGGTGTTATATCCTAAGCAGTGTGCTTCTAGCTGTGGGTCAAGAAATCAATCTGGCAGGTTGAAACCAACCATCTACAGATTGAAATGGAAGAATCTAGACTAAAACAATGCTGAGGCATAGAAACTGCACTCAGGCTGTAACTGTGTCTGTGTGGGCGCTGCAGGCATGTTTCAGGGACTGGCAGCTTGGTCCAAGAAAAGGCCAGACAGCAAGAGGCTCCGCTGCGCAGAAAGCAGCGGCAGCGGTGTGTGGACACACAGAGTGGCCTCGTGCCTGCACACTGCTCCGTGTGGACTGCTTCACCCCAGAACTGTCCCAGATACAGAGTAACCGGACTTGCACACGTTTCTGGAGAGAAGCACGCACCCCCAACCACCGTAGGCAACAATGAGGTCTCTTCTGCCCTGGGAGACAAGCCACCCCTGCAGGATTGGCTGTAGCCTGGGTGCTTGGGTCTTGGTTTATCAGGGAGAGTGACAGAGCTCTCAAAGGCCCACGTCACTGAAGGAAGATTGCCGTTCGCAGGAGAAGCAGCACGTCGTAGTAGGCAGGGCCACAGGGGAGCACCAGCCTCGTCAGGAGGCCCTCAGAGGCTAGGCAAGACAGAGAACTCTGTGTGGATGACCAGTATGGACCCTGCAGCAGGCTTTGAGGGATGTAGGCGATCTCTAGTGGCGGGGTAAGGTCCTCGTGGCTGAAGGCAGGGAAACATCGGCCAGGATGCGATTTTGGAACGAGGTGGAGGCACAGCCCTTGGTGAGCCTGCCTGCGGCAGTGGGCTCCAGGCAAGCCTGTACCCCCGGGGATCAGCCTGCTCTGGAAGAGGCAGTCACAGGTCTGAAAGGCCCCTGCGATGTCAAAACATTAAAATATGCAGAAAATACAGAGATGTGATTAGACACTAGAAAAATGGGAACGTGTTGTACACAGAGACAGACACACATACAGCACCTTGATCCATACTGACATGACTGGAAGCAAAGCCTGCGGGTAAACACACGCTGACCAGTTTATTCAGACACAACACTGCGCAGCAACTGAAAACCAAAGTACAACACAGCAATGAACTACAGAAGCACACGACACAGAAGGACATCGACGTCCCCAGACCGAGAAAAGTCACACCCACAGGTTCCACAGAGCCATCATCCTGTGTCCGTGGTGCAGGTTCAGGGGTCGAGCTGAGGAGAGTGTAAGAGTACTGAGGAGTGGCGCCCGTGCCCTGGAAGGCCGGGGTCAGGGCTGTCCTCTTTCTTAAACTCTCTGGCCCAAAGGCATTGCATCACACAGTTTTACACGTCAGCACTGGAGGCAAATGTGGGAAGCTGGGTGTGGGGATGCAGCTGCTTTACTTCCTCTCCGGAGTCTGGGCAGCAGGAGCAATGCCCGGCAGGAGTATCCTGGCTACTCACTTCTCCTGACCCAGAAAAAACATCCACAGCGGCCCTGTCCAGGGATCCACAGCTGCCCACACATCTGGCAGCTGGATCCTCCATCCTCACAGGGGCTGCCCCAGCCCCCAGCTGCGTGAACTTACCTAGCCGGGGTCTCTGGCGATATCCTGGGGACTCTGCTGAGGGCTGGCACCAGTGCGGACCCTGCTCAGCAGGAGGGGCCCTCAGTGCCTGGGGACCCCCAGGACCTGGCACTTAGGCCTCTGCCTCCCACTGCGGGCATGAGAACCTCCTGGGCCTCACACTCAGGACCTGCTCTCCACAGGGACCCTGTGGGTGGCCAGCAACCCAGCGCTCGGAGATGGGAGAGTACGGGTGACGTTAGCCCTTGGTGGCCCCCATCCTGGCATTGCTGGCCAGGTGGGACCAGCAACCTCTGGTGGTGGCTGCTGCATTGACCAGTGCGTGATGTGCATCAGCCCCAGACTCATGCAGTTTCTCTCCAGTTCTCCCAGATACCACCAGCTCCAGGCAAGACTTCAGCTCCAGGTGCAGGGAGGAGATAGCCAAGGAAGCAAGGTCTCCTTGGCTATTCCGGTCAGTGTGGGGAAGGGGCTGGGCCACTGCACAGGAAGGCTCCTCCCACCCTGGCCTCCAGGCCAGGGTCTGAGAGGCAGGAGCAACAGGTGCTGACTCAGTGCCCACCAGGCTCTAGGGGCCACCTGGGGCTGCCTTGTGGGGGCACCACCTCAGCCCTCACACCTCTGGACAAGCCAGGTGGTGGGGTAAGGCCCCTCCTTGGTCTGAGGCCCCTGGAGGACAAGTCAGAGGGCCCCAGCCTGTCTGGAAGCCCCAGGGGTCCCCAACCCATAAAGCAGCTCCTTCTGCCCCTCTGCCCATGGCCTAACCACAGCAACAGCCACAGGAAATCCTGCCTGCAGCTGGCCAAACCCCAAGGGACTCCTGGGCTCTGAACAGTGAAGGTGTCAGAGAAGAGCCCAGAGGGCCCGGACCCTGTTTGGGGCCTTCCTGGCAGGGAAAACCCCAAAACACCAGTGTCCTCAGGGGCCTGGAGTCACTGGGCCTCTGGGAAACGCTCACCACAGACCCCCAGGGCCCTGGACGCCTGCCCTGCCTGCATCTGTGCCCCTCTGAGCAGGGCTGTCCACACAGCACCTACTCTAGGCTCCTTCAGCCCAAGGAGCAAAGTGGTGAGACTGGGGGGTGGGGGTTGCTCTCACTGGGAGGTTGGATGGGGTGCTTGAGCTGCTGGACCCCATGGAAACAAGGGCAGAAAGGGGATAAAGCCTCATGCCCTGTGACAGGACAGCCACTGGGGCATCTGCGAGGTTCAGGCAATATATGCTGTCCACAGGAAGACAGCAACACTCATCTGCTCCAGCGAAACTTTAATGGGGCTTTGCCACGACCCTGCGTTGTGGCCGAAGTGAGTGTGCTAGCCCCTCCAGCCGGCTGCCCCTCCCTGGCCACTGCACGAGCAGAAGCAGCACCGGAACTCCAGCTCCCTCAGAGGCAGTGTCCTTTCCCAAGGCTGTCTCACAGCAGGCATGAAGACGGGACAAATGGCAAGTGGCATGGCCCCACAGAGCTGGGGGGCAGGGACAAGCAGCCCCGCTGCATCCTGCAGGTGTCCAGGCCACCAGCTCCATCCTTAGATCATGCCAGCCAGCCAGGGTGGCAGAAACAGGCCCACAGTGCCCAGCAGGCAGACAATGATGAACATCCAGAGGAAGATGCGGTCGATGACCATGGCCACGTACTTCCAGTCCTCCTTTACCTGCAGACACAGACACCGGGTTACTTCCAGCTCCTGGCCTCACAGGCAACCAGAGAACCTTCCAGAACCTGGTGCTTCAACTGGGAGATACTCAGTTTCCCACCAGGTACACGCTTGCGCACACCCGAACACGCCTTGAGCTCATACCCCAGCACACGCCCTAAGCCACACCTCCACACACAGCTGAGCACACACCTGATGAGTGGGGAGGGAGCACATCAAAACAGCTACGCATGTGAAAAAACTGACATCGGAGAAGCCGGCTCCCGGCACAGAGCTGCAGCAGGGCCCACGCAGGGCAGCACTGTGAGGAACAGCCGGGTATTTCGAGCTGCACATGAGGCACTCGTGTGTGGGATCCCTGGATTCAAATGAAGCAGAGCTCCCTGGCACCCAGCAGGAGACTGGGGGCTCACACTATGTCCCCAGCTGACCTCATCTACCTGGCAGGCTTCCTGAGCACAAAGGAAGCAGAAACCAGTATGCTTGGGAGGGCTGCATGGCTGCCTGGTGAAATTTGTTCTCAGTTTGCAAAAGCTGGGGGAGATCCCTGGAGGCCAAGTCCACCTCCTGTTGCACAGATATTCAAAGTGGGGTCCAGAGAGCTGATGCCCGCTAGCCCGGGCTGATAAGGGAGCAGGTGAGGGGCACGCTGGGTAACGTGCCAATTCTCAAGGAGAAGCCTCCATGGCAAGTGAGGGCCCAAGAGCCAGGGCCCTGGCCTGACAGCCCACCGCTCACAGTGGGCTGGCAGCTCACAGGCAGGAGCTGGAGCAGGTCTGGACCGAGCAGGCTGCCGAAGGACCACTCCATGGCAATGGCGCAGTGGCCAGGACGGAAGGTGGATAGTGGGAGCAGATGTACCCAAAGTGCCCCAACCGTCTAATGGCACACAGAATACAGAGGCACAAGCAACAGCAGGAGTGGCCTACACTCAGCTCTGTGAGAGCAGACCCAGCCTGGGCTCTGCCTCTGCCTGGAGCTGATGTAGGGCAGCTACTTCCCAGGGGGCGCCGAAGATCTGGGGGAGGCCTGCGGCTAGCAAGTCCCTGGGAGACCCCTCTCCCTGGCCTTGCTCTGCTGCCCCTGACGCTGCTGCCAGGCCCCTCCTTGGCTGCCTGTCCTATGTGGGAGTCAGCTGTCCGGAAGGGCCCAGGACAGCCTCTGGGCTTGGCTGGAGCTGTCTTCCAGACAGACCCCGGGCAGGAGTCAGGGGTCAGCACACTGGTGGGCAGGAGTGGCTGGAAGAGGAGGCAGCAGGCATCAGCTCAGGCCAGCAGAGCAACGTGTGGCTGGCAGGCCTGGGATGTCGCAGAGGTCAGCTTTCCAGTTTGGTGGCACTTGCCCTGATTTTTCAAAGCAATGCAGGCATTCTGATGGTTCTAAACCAAACCTAAATGACTGTTTGCTTACAGAGTGCTCAGAGCAAACAGGGTCGTTTCTAAGTAAAACGCTCCCAGGACTCCTGTTGCTCCTTCTCCGACTGCCTTGAACTCTTCCCTTGCACCCAGCGCTCAGCCCATCCTGAGAGGAACCAGGCAGCAGACCAGAGCCTGCCTTCCTGCTGCCCAGTACCCAGTGCCCTCCACCAGCTTGCACCCCAGAACCAGAACCAGGTCAGCGTCACAGCAGATCAGCACAGAGGGGCCTGCCAGCTCCCGCTCCATAAGCCAGCCTCCTGCAGATTGTGATTAAACTTCTGACCAGCGGTGGTTCTCAGCAGCCACTCACGTGCAGTGTCTCTCTAGGGGGTTTGAGCAGCCCAGGGCTTCAAGAGACCTCCAGAATAGGTTCACAGCTTCTTGGGACCCAGAGGGTTGATGGAGGGGCCACGGCCTACCCCAAGAGTGTGGGCACAAGCCCCCCTTCTTTTGGGCTCTCATTCGGCTCCAGGAGGCAGACGTCTGACAGCTGGGAGCCGAGGCCAGGTGGGAGCCGTGGGTGGGGAGGGGCAGCTGGCAAGAAGAGGGGGTTCTGGGAAGGACTGAAGCAGCAGGGACTGTGGCAGGTCCCAGGCCAGGCACGGTCAAGGCGAAGGACCGTGGTGAGTCCGCGTGGGTCCAGCTGAGGTGACCGAGGCCCCAGGCCAAGGGGGAGCTGCGCTCCCCACCCTGGCTGGCCTATGCTCTGCCAGGGCCTCCGAGTCTGCCACCACCTGCACCCCAACAGGCAGAGCCAGAGAAGCAGCCAGCAGCCCTGCAGCCCCACAAGGCCCCGAGTCCCCGCCTTATCTGAGCCAACACCCCAGCCTGGAGACCCCCACATGTGAAAGGCAAGCAAAAATCACAGAAGCAAAGTGGGATTAAACCCCAGGCAGGGGGTGAACCGGGCCCAGTGCCTGTGGGGCGTCAGCTGGACACCTGACTCAGGTCGGGCATCTCGGGGCCAGAGGGACTCATACTGAGTGTGAAGAGCAAGTCAGAATGAGGTCCCTGGCCAGGAACTGCTCTCTGGGGTCCCCGGGTCCCCAAGGGCCTTGCTCTGGGCCCCGTGACTCTGCAATTTTTCTTCCTGGCTTGGCCAAGTGTGTATGCGTTCAAACTCCAACCTTTGCCTCTGGGAAGCCTCAGGGATTGGCCAGCCCCACCTTGGCCTCTCTCAGCCCCATTCCCCTGTCCCAGGCCCCGGCACCTAGCCCAGCCCAAGCGGGAGACCCCCAGCAGGTTTGCAAGAGCCAGGAACATCTGCATTTAGGGGAAGCACATGTGGGCCCTGACCCATCACCCAGTCAAGGCTGGCAGGAGATCTCAATGGTCAGCAATGGCCCAAGGACCACAGGGTTACCCAGTGTGTGCCGAATGCTGGAGCTGGTGGCCACTCTCACCCCGCCACAACCAGGGCATGCAACTCCCAACACCCAAAGGGACCATATCTTGGTCCACTGCTTTCCACCAGCTACTCTGGGCCACTGTCCTGTTTATCCTCAGATTGGCTCAGGAACCCATAGGGGCTGCCAGGCAAAAGCCACACTGTGTACCCCAGAGATGAACAGCCAGGTCCGGTCATCAGCTAGAGACAGAGGGCATCTGCTCATCTAGGTCTTGAGCCGGAACTCCTCCCAAACAGCCACGGGCCGGGACTCACCGAGAAATCTGAGTCTTCTGCCTTCAAGTGATCGGCGATGTACTGGACGCCCTCCACTGCCCGGGTCAGGGCTGGTGACAGGGGCAGGTGCCGGGGTGGAACTTTGGTGCTGTGGGCCTTGAGCACAGTGACTGGGGACACCAGGGGTGGCTCCTTCTTGCATGTGCACTTGCAGGAAGAGGGCTGGTCTGGGGGCAGCTCAGCAGAGTGGGCCTTCAGCGAGGCTGGGGAGCCAGCCACCTGGCCATCAGCCAGGAATGCAGCACCGTCCTGGGGGCTGCAGTACTGGACACTTCGAGATCGGCACCGGACACTGCCCTTCGTTGTTTTGTGGGGACTGGACATGTGCTGGACACTCAGGGACCTCATTTTGGGGAGCCCCGGGGCCCCAGGGCCATTGGGTGAGGGGCAGGGGCTGGCCTTCTCAGACCCGGTGGGCTGCAGGGTGGGCGCCTGGCCAGAGGGCGACTTGCAGGAAGGCTGGGGCTCCACAGGTGCCTCTGCGGGGACGCAGAAGGATGGGGTGGGAGAGGGGCCCCGACTGTGGGCGCCACTCAGGACACTGGGCTCCCCCTCGGGCTCGGGCCAGAAGCGTGGGGTGCTGGCCATCTTGTGCATGGACTCGATGAGCCGCCGGCAGTTGTCCTTGACCACAGATGGCCGCTTCATGAGGAGCAGGCGTGGCACGATGTCCAGGAAAACCCTGCGCACCCAGGCGGGCATGGTGTGTGTGTGCGGCGAGCGGTGGTGCACGTTCAGCACGAAGACCGTGATGACGATGGACAGCGTGACGAAGATCATGGTGAAGAGCAGGTACTCGCCGATGAGCGGGATGACCAGCGAGGTGGACGGGATGATCTCGGTGATGAGCAGCAGGAAGACGGTGAGCGACAGCAGCACCGAGATGCACAGCGTGATCTTCTCGCCGCAGTCGGAGGGCAGGTAGAAGACCAGCACGGTGAGGCAGGAGATGAGCAGGCACGGGACGATGAGGTTGATGGTGTAGAAGAGCGGCAGGCGCCGGATGACGAGGCACGGGACTGAGGTTGATGGTGTAGAAGAGCGGCAGGCGCCGGATGACGAAGGCGTAGGTGATGTCGGGGTAGATCTCGGCGCAGCACTCGTACTTCCGCGTGTTGTAGGTGCCCACGGCGTCCACGATGACCCACTCGCCACTCTCCCAGAAGTCCAGCTGATCCACACGGCTGTGCATGCTCACCAGGTCGATCTTGGCCTTGTCGTAGGTCCAGGAGCCGAACTTCATGGTGCAGTTCTGCTGGTCGAAGGGGAAGAAGGTGACATCGATACTGCAGGAGCTCTTGTAGATGGCCGGGGGCGCCCACTGCACCCGCCCGTCGTGGAACAGGTGGGCCTTGGTGAGGTGGGTGACGGCGAAGTCCCCATCCGCACTGCACAGGGAGAAGGAGAGAGCAAGGTGGGTCCCGCACCCGCACCCGGCACCTCCCATGCACTGCACAGCCTACATCCCACCAAGAGAGGCAAAGGCCTCCGTGGTGACGCCACCAGTCTCAGGGTTCTGTGGGTGGGGCGCGTGGCCCTGGGAGCCTCAGTTTACCACCTGAGTTCAGATGCATGTGGTTCAGAGGACACCTGCCACCACGCTGTCACTCCTGCTGGTGACAGCTGCTGCCCCTTGGGGCAGGGGTCTGGGCCCAGACTCTGGCTCCTGCCTCCAGGGCTCCTGATGTTCCCACAGACATGTACCTCTGAAGGGTGCTTAGATGCCCATGCCTTTGCCATCTGAGGCACCCCAGACACCACGGGAACTCCACCCAGCATACCCTTCTGGGGGAGGACAATTGGGTCACGGCACCAGGGGCCAGGTCCACCTCGGTTCTGCTGCTGGCAGCCAGCCCCTGCCTCGCACCACTGGGGCAGCATGGAGGTCACACAGGACGGGCTGTGTCCTACTCACAGGGTGCATGTATCCACCAGCAAGGGCCAGGGACTCCCTCTGGGCCCAGGAGCAGGGCACCCAGCTCAGCAGGGCTGTGACCCACAGCCCAGTGCACCACTGCCTCGTAAGGTGGCAACAAGGGCTGAGCAGCTGCCCCACTGACCCTTCCTGGGACAGAGGGCAAAGGGCCCTGAACACCACACAGGAGAGCTTCTCAGGTACCTCCAGGCTCTGCCATGGACCAGGTGGATGGAGAGGCCCACTGCCCCCAGCGGGACTGTCTGTCCCTCCTTGGTGCCCAGATGCAGAGCAGCACTCAGTTCCCCTGGAAGTGTGCTCTCCCCTCCAGGATGCAGAGGCCATGGCCCTGCAGGACAGGTGAGGATGCTGCAGCCCCAGAAGTAAGGATGGCACTGTGGCTGGGGGTGACACAGGCCTGGCACACACAGGAGCTGTCTGGCCTGTGGCCTCATCCAATCAGCATCCTGTCCCCAGACTGGGATGGGCAACAGGGCGAGGGGCTGTTGTCTCTCAGGCCCCTCCTCCTGGTAGGCAGAGCTTCCAGTCCTGGACCCCGGGCTTCCCAGTGATGTATGTGCCTCAACTTGCCCACTGTGGGGACTCAGGGACCCCCACCTGCAGCTCCCACAAAACCCTGGCCTGTTCTTACAAGCCCACTTTCCTCCACACTTTCATACCCCGACGTGGAAGCACCCGGTCTTAAGTGTCCAGGCCCCACCCCGAGTACCCAGTCCAACCTGGGCTGCCACCCCAATCCAAAATGCTGATGGGAAGCATTTTGTGCACACTCTGAGGCCTGATTAACTTCTCCATTGACAGCGCCATCACCGCAGAGTGAGACATGGCCCTGAGCCCCTGGACCCTCTGTGCGTCCCTTCCCCTGCCTCTGTCCCCAAGGCTCAGCTCAAAAGCCAGGGCCTCTTAAGGTCCTCCAGAGGAGGGGCCCAGCTGACCCTGCCCCAACCAGCGCCGTCAGTCCCGACAGTCACGAGGCAGAGGCGGCCACCAGGGACGCCTGGGGATGCTCGGGCTGCTGGGCAGCACCCTCCAGGCCCCGGAGCCCCAGCCAAGCTCTCCACTGCACAGCCCCCACCCGGCCCCACAACTGGCTCCTCTCGCGAGATACACTGCCTGGCAGCTCTGCACACGCATCCCAATGAGGCTCCCGGTCCAGGCCGGCTCTGTGCCGAAGCGGAGGTTCCCTCCGGGCAGCGTGGGGGCGGATCTCCCGCACACTTCAGCCAGTGTGGAGCTGGGCTCACTTTGCATCTTTCTCCCATCTCCATCTCTCCAAAAATCAAAGCTTTACCCCTTTGGGAAAAAATTAAAGTCTAGTCCTGCACTTAGCAGACATTCTACAAGAGGCCAGATAGGCTGCAGTGGCCTGGCAGAGCAGATGTGCAGGTTCCTGGGGCCGCGGGGTGTGGTCTGTGGGCGCAGCCCCCACCCCGCGGCC